GATGGGCTGATATGCAAAAGTAAGTAGCGAGACTGTACAAGAGTGAGTTTGAAAAAAGCCCACTGGAAAGGAAAAAAATGTAGGTGAAATTGGCAGAATATGCTAAATTATGCTGTAATTTTTTTTTATTTTATAAAAAGTGTAAAAAAAAATTGCTCATTGAGCCAAATTATGCCGGTCAAAATGCATATTCGAGAAGGGCCTACCCGGTACCCGGCACCGGAAAAATAGGGCTTGCGCCAAACAGTCATGCCCGGTGAGTGCGCGGTGATTATGTCAGTCAGGGCAGTGTTGGGATAACTAAGCGCAAATACGTAGTTGCAATTTGAAGTCAGTTCAAAAAATTCTATTGAAGTCCCTCCTATACCCGCCTACAAGGTGTGAAAATCCTTTGAATTTCCCGAAAGATACTATCTAGTTTTAATATCATACTGATCTATATGATCTAGCTTTGCGAGTATCAGTTCCGGCATAAAGCTTAAAGGGGAGAAGTTCAAGCTTGCCTCTGCTGTTCCGTGTACGTTTTAATAGTGGTTGTGACAAGGACAAAGAGTGTTGGAGCAGTTAAGCGTATTTAAAGGGCATGTAAACCCAAAAATACATGTTTTTCTCATACTATGTAAAAAGTGGCGTAGAGAACGAATCTGAAATTCGTTTTGTCCAATTCGACTTATTTAGGAGAAAATCGGCATTTTCAACTGAAATTCCATTTCCGGTAAAAACAATAACGAGAGTCGTGACGTAAGCGGTGGAACTAAAATATTGCGCAACACATATTCCCTAGTAGAACTGGTGTGGTAGCTCGTGTAAGTAGCGGTAGTTCGAAGATGTTTTTCAGAAGATAGCGACTCGAAAGCCCTAAGCTTAGTATATGACGGCGATGGGGATGGTCTAGAATCTTTAGGAGAATCTGGGCCACGTCCTTAACAATATGAGCTGCGTAGGGTTCACCGAAGCGATCCGCACGAACACAGTGTTGACAGCAATGCGACCTCCTCGGAAACTCAGACTGGTATCTAATTTACTGTGTGATTTACTTGTATTTGATATGAAAATCCAATAAAGCAAGGGCACAATCTAAAAGAATGCAACAGAAATTTTTTGAACCCGCTGAGCTTCCGAGGGTGTTTTATATAAAATTGTCAAAGGTGCGAGTGTGGAACTTGTCAACCAATGCCGACAACTCGTGAAAGTGTTTGTTGTACGGAAATCGGGCAATTGTGGCAAAAAGTAGAGGAGCGAGGGTCTGAAACCCAGATAAGTTGTATCACTGAGTATCCAGGTTTTTAGTCAATTTGCCTCGATTTCTGGGTGCTAGAGACGGCCTATTACACGTACAGGCAGCAGTAAGGCACAGAGAATCACACCGGAAACGAGTAAGCTAAATGTTTTCCGTTTCATTTGTTTCGTTACATTTTGAGATCGATTTGCTTGAGTTGTTTCCGTCATTGATTTAATAATACAGTACTACAGCTAGCTGTTTATAGTTCCGAATAATTTGCTTCTGGTAGGGCCTGAATTGTCGGTACAACACCAGGAAGAAAAATGACTGCTACAAACAACAGAATGTTCGAACGGCTCGACGAAATCGGCTATTTTCATTTGAACAAGTTTCACAAATTGTGGCTTCAAATTTGCGTCATTTGGAAATATTTGCGTTGTATGCCCAGTTTTGTTTGAATCAGTACAAAACTGGACGACACAACGCTTTACCATTATGAAAAAACTGAGTATATTGAAGCAAACTGTAAGTAAAAAAATCGTGACGAGACCGGCAAACAACGACTGTGGAAAAGACTCCGTGTCTTACGCGATTATTAATCGAAACTTTGTAGGTTCCACCCGTGACGTCACAAGAAAGATGGCGCCATTCAAAATGGCGAATGTTTCGAATTTGGAAGAGCTTTTTCAAAGTGAAAATGGACTTTTGAGAAAAAACGAATGGCACCTTTGGTGTACTTGATATATTTACTAAACATCTATGTGAAAAGAAAATGAACGTTTTTTGGGTTTACATGCCCTTTAACTGGTAATTTATGGCACAGGTTTAACAAGTGGAAATTCACGGGCACGGTTGAATTCTCAAGATAAACACTCGCCATCAGTAGATAAGCAGATAAAGAATATATTGTTGATTTTATTATTTTTGTAATGGAATACGGAGGGTTTTACGTCGCTTTGACTAGGATAACGACGTAATGAGAACAATCAAACCAAAAACATAGACTCAACCGGAAATCTTTGGTAAAGAAATAAACAAGTAAATCAAGTTTACACAATAGAGTCCACCCTGGGACGGATTTCGTGTTCGAGAATGTTCCAATCGGATGAATGTTGTACAATTTAGTAAACTTATGACTCAAAACCTTTGATTCAAAATTCAAACCTGCATTGTAGGTTTCCATCATCTATCTTTGAATCTCTCGTCTCCCCGCGTCTTTCGTTAACAGGAAATCTGACTGAATTCAGGCATCAACTATTCGCTATAAATATAACAATGACTAAGGAAGCTAAGAACGGCAACAGCCGCGGGGAGAAAGCCCCTTTGAATTTCTCTCTTTCTCGCTTCGGCTCTCGGCTAAATCTTTGCCTATGTGGTCTTACGCTCTCAGTGAAATAAATAGGAAAGGCGAATGTGGAGAAAACTGCAATGCGGAATGGTTCACAATACTCTCAGGATACATAAGACCTTTACTAGACTGACACTTAATAGAACTTAACCTAATCTCCTCAACAATGAGAACTACTAAAGCACATTTGGCGGTATGCGCCAAAAAAATTTTAAGGGCAATGTTAATCGATGGAATGTAAATGATGGACAAATGTAAAACGTATCGCAATAAGTGCAAGTTACGCAGTAAATGACATTGGCGGAGGTATACGTAAAGTGATCAGTGATCTTAATAGATCTCTTGGGTCCCGATATTTCCTCTACGTTATGAATGAAAGGACAAGTTTTGCATCGTGAGCGAGCGCATTTGGAAGTTCCAGATTGGTCATTGGCTTGAAATGAACTTTTACAATGGACAGACCTTTCGGATTCCGCGCTCTGATGCTCTACCACTGAGCCACAGTGACTCTACGGTGGACGAGGTCTATTACGACACGCGTTCTGCATACTGTTAGGATCAGCCATGTCGATAGTGTCATGTTTTGTCAAGATAGAATAAGAGAAATGTGAATGTTATTTCGGTCATACAACGTGAATCAATGATATTTATCGTACTTACTGTGTCGAAATATTTCGGAGATGCACAGCAAAGTTGTTATGCTATCACAACAGTAAAGAATAAAGGTTCCTGTCTCGAATCATCCACAGTCGAAAATGAAAGCGGGAGACACTCAAGTCATATGACCATATGACGTATGATTATGAATAAATTGACGGCAATCAGAGCGCTGTGTTTGCGCAAAGATTTCTGGGATCACCACCTGGCAAACATGCAACTCGCTAAAAACAAATGTATGGCGAGAGGTCGTTTCGACGTCCAAAAAAAAATGGATTTTGGAGAGAGATTATCACTTTTTCGCCGCTGTTTTATTAGAAATAGATTTGGATAATGTTTATACAAGGGAAGCGTAAGTTTTTGTCAGGAAAACCTTCAAATATGTGGTAAGAAAAACCGATTGACATTTCTCCATGCACAAGGTTTATTTTATTTCAAAAACGAAATTTTTGCGCAAACGCAAGGATCCGATTACTGACAACTCATTCATTAAAAGCCTGTTCTAAATGTATGTTGGGCCGTTTATAATTAAAGCTTATCAGATGCCATTACCACTAAAGCTTGTGAAAGCTTGTTTTGAAAGTGTGAACCACAACATTTTAAACAAAGTTTGCGTGATCCAAGTATGCGTGACATCAAGAATTTAACGGCTCACGCGATTTCCTGTGGACACGCAAAGTTCTGTTGCGTGACAATGTCGAGCATTCTTTGAGCGAAAACGTTGAAACAAGCAGCGTCAGCGCGAGACAAAAGCGAAGAGGTAGAAATACATGGTTGAAAAAATGCTCAAAGCCTTATCGTAACAGTCCTGTGCTTGCTGCAGTCCACCCATGTCGTGATGAACATCACCCAGTTTGTTGTAGATAGTTGCGACATCAACTTGCGAAAGACCCTCACTTTTGAGACGAATGTCGAGTGCTCGTTCACTGCATTCCTTTACTTGTATAAGGTCAACGATCGCTTGGTGTGTACAACCCAGGTTATGATAGGTAGTTGTCACTTCAATATTTTCCTGTCCGAGTTGTTTTGTTAGAATGGTCAAAGCACGATCATGATGGCTCTACCGCTTCTTGTTAATCACCCAGGTCGCAATGTACAAGGCGTATACCATTGTACGTTGTTACCACATGGACATGATCAGGTCTGATCTTTTTTCAGACGGCCTGTCAATGTACCGTTACAACACTCGTGCGCGTTGAAGGTCACCAAGGGAATGATAGACAGAACCCAGATTATTAAAATCAGTTGCTGCATCAACATGTTCAGGTCCGAGCTTTTTCAGACGAATGATCAGTGCACATTCATATCACTACTGCCTGCTGCTGGTCACCGAGGGAACTAAGGACGGTACCAAGATTATTGTGACTAAATCGGTGTGACATCGTTTTAGAAATAAAATTCTGATGAGAATACGATAAATCGGTAATTTATGCGATTTTTTTGATACTTTGGCGACTGGTCAATGAGGCTTACCGTTCTTAAACCCATAAATTGTGCGGAATTGCGCTCATTTTGGAAACTTAATCACTTCAGGTTGACGATTACAGTTGCTGTAGCCATAACATCCGATATATACACCTTCGCTGTGTACTTCCTTCGTCAAGCATCAACAAATATAACCCCACAGTATCTCTAGATGAGTTTTGACTAGTCTATACTGAAATAACAGGAAGCCAATAGTTTTTCCCATGAACAATTAATGTAGCAAGAAAAGAAAAGAAATTGAAGTTCACGCACCATCGACATTCATCGATTAAGTAAGACGAACTGAGAAACGACTGAGGACAATACAATGAAACGTTGTGTTTGATTGCTAAACAGCTTCTGCTATAACATAGCATCATTGTATTTACATTAAAATTAGCATTTGAAATTAACCAGTATTTGACAAAGTAAAACTAAAATCACTTGTCAGAATTACCATTTTTTCAGCTGAAAGTTTGTGTTTAATGCTCAGAGATGTCAGGGTGCCAGTGGAAAAAAGTGATAAAAATCTACAAGTAACAACAACTTAAAAAAATGGCTTAGACAGTTCCATTTTTGGAAGATTCTCAAGATAATAAAAAAAAACTGTTAGAACACTAACAGATACTTTTTCTAATCTGTAATATTGATACATCTCAAAATGTTGGAGTTGTGGAGGCATATCTCCTAAAATAGGCCTTTCAATGAGGTACATGGTTGATCTGTTTGCGTAACTCCATACACTGATCTCTGTCAATAAAAAGACTGTTTGCTTTCACTTCAATATCTTCTTCCAAAGAAAGTTGCTTCCTGATCAGTCCTTTGAGGGATGCTTCTGCATCAGCCAGTTTTTCCCGCAGTCGCTCAATGTTGGTAGAGATCTCAAATACTTCCTCTATCAGCCGATACTGTACACGGTCTCGGCAAAGCTCTACGTTTGGCCTAAAGGTTCTGTTCTCCAGTCGCGTCTGAGAAACCTTCATTGGAGCCTCTTTATCAGCAATAGCTCTTTTGAGCATTTCAATGTTTTGCTCCATGGCAGCTATTTCTTCCATCACCTAAGAAAATAAAAAAGTTAAGTCAACTGTTTTACTCCCACTATCTACTTGTTAATTCTCCTCCCTGGTCACTACATGTTTCCTTGTAAATTAGTAGTAAGAATTTGGTGTTAGATCAAGATAACTTCTAGCTGATAGGTCTGACTATTCTCATAACCTGTTTTCTGGATAATTTAAAGATATTTGAGCTTAATGAATCAGATATAATTTCTACTGATATATTTTGCCAAAAAGCCCATAGTTATTAAAAATCATTATGATGTGATAATGGTTATTTATAACAACAAATATACTTCATCATCATTTTACTGTCAATTGGTAGAACTTTGCCAAGCAATTGTTACTTGATGTTTGATTTTATTTTATTTAGATTCTTTTATCTCTTGAGACATTGAAGTAATCAGTTGTGAAGGAATTTAAGTTGTTAAGGTCACTATAACTCACCTGAGCTAAATGTTTTTCTAACTTTGTTTTTGCTTCCACAGTTTCTTCAATTCGCTTCTGGAATGCCAGGTTAACAGCTTGGCATTGGGCTTGAAGGTCACTTAAGGTCTGCATAAGTATACCATCTATGATGCTACGCAGATTAATGGAAGAATTTTTCTCGCGTTCTGCCTTAAGAACATTCTTGTTGGAAAAATCTTCCCATTCATCAGGAGTTACAGAGCTGAAAACAAGATTGCATAAGCTTCGATAAGAAAACAAGAAGCTAAGATCACCAGCTATTATGAACGATGTGGATTTTATACCTCTACATAACAATTTGATCACATTTGTTTAGCTTATAAGGTAGATCTCTTTGTGAAAGGGACAGGGATTTAAGGCGAATGTTGAAATGAAGTAGTGAAAGACACCAATCTTTACAATACTTAATTTTTTTTTCTGTCCTGGCAAAAACTGTGAAATCAAAGCACTGTTTTTCTACTACATGTGAGTACGTGCAGAGTAAAAATTTCACTTGTTTTAATTTTGGTAAATTGTCCTTGATCCCCACAAACTCAAAAAAGTTTTCACAAGGAATTGGTCTGCAGTTTGCCATTAATTTAATTGAAAAGGTCCATTTTCATTCATTAAGATTGATAACAAAGTTTCTCTGAGTTTAAAAGCATGAGGAAAGCTATTACAAAATCAACTCACTTACTTTTTCTCCACCTTAACAGCATCTTTGGCAAAGCGCAGCCCAGCTGAAGTATTTTCTAGAGATGCACACTTGTTGTCAATATTATTGGCTTGGAACTTGTCTTTCCTGTCTTTGTCCAAGTAGTATTTGGCTGATCTTAAAAGCCTGTAATTTCATGGAAGGTAATTATAATAACTATTTTAAAATATGTGGTACTTTTGATGGAATGATTAATGGTTGTTGACATCCGTACGTAGTTCTTAAAGTCTTTCAGTTTTGTATTTATGTAGGAAGAAAAAGATGACCATCTAAGCTAACATGTTCGGCTAATAAAAGGATATAAAATATTGGTATGTGATAGCCTCGAGATTCACAAGATTAATCATCTGCTGTTGACAGACCGCGTTCTTGCAAATTCACGATGATATTATTACTATTTTAGAGTAATTTTTTTATAAGCGATTTCAACAGAAAATCTACGATCTAGATATGTACAAAGAATAACCATTGGCGGACTTGCCTTATTTGCTCAGTTGCTTGTTCAAGAGTTCTCTGTAACAGGGCTTGCACTCCTTCAATAACCTCCACCTCCTACAAAAATCGATCGCATTAAAAAAACCATTCATCGAATATTTTGAGAAATTGGTTAAATATGAAACGCAAAATCGCTTTATTACCTTTTGAAGTTGCATTTCCACATTGTCGTGGACGAGATCAACTTTCATTCGCCTTTCGCGGTTGACCAGACATTGTTGAGCGATCATAAGAGGGAGTTCTGTATCTGCCAAAGCTTTCTCTACTCGGGCTTTGAACTGAAGTAAGGTGGAGATTTCGTCTTCTGTTTCTTCCTGCTTCTGATCTAACTCTGATTTCCAAAAACCTATATCAGTGATTCGCTGTTCAAGCTTCTTATTGACGTCCATTTGAGTTTGTGTCGTACGAACTTCGGTTTCATGAGCGAGTCGAAAGCTTTCATCTCGAAGCCTTTCTGCTGCAGCGCGTTCCCGTTCAGCATTGAAATATTGAAGATGGTTCGAAGCGTGCCATTCTTCGGGAGTGTACTTCGGTGGAGGCTGTACTAACCTGGCCATCTTGCTTCCTTTTCTCAAAATGTCCGTCTTCAATGGAGTAAACTTGATTTGTAATTCTTGTTGCGGGAAGTCCTGGAAAACAAGCCGACGTTCCTAAGCAACAGCTGATCAGGTGGGTCATTACAAATTTGAGCCGATTGTTGCTAAGAAGAACTGTCAGCGGTAATACATCTTAAACTAAGATGGCGGACGATTCTATCCATATGAGTGTGGTTCAGATTGGTGAAAGAAAATTACGGTTTTTGGAATGGGCAACGACAGACGACACGATTTCAAATTCACAAGAGCAAAAAGATAACATTCCTTTATTTCTTGGGGCTGATGTGCTATCTGGGTGTTCTATCGCTGTATCTAACTTACCAAGGATGCATGCGAAGTTTTCCAAGCAAGGCCTAGCTGTTAAAGTTAACTTCCCCAATTCTCTTCGATTGCATGGCATCCATGGCTCTGCTCGTGGTGTTTGGTTCTACTCAATTCAAGGCCTTTTCAGAGTTTGCTTTGAGTATTACAATCGCGAGGAACAACTAGAATGCCTAACAAAGCTCTGCGCCTCGTGGAAGTTAAGATTTACAGACAAGCCATTTAGGCAAAGAGAAATTGAACTCAATTTTCAAGATACTCTCAAACAACAGGTGGAAATCCCTGCAGGCCCAGGTGACACAGATTCAACTGGACAGCCTTACTCGGATAAAAACGTTAACCCATCAGAAATCACATCCACTAAAATAACGGAATCTGATGGCAACATTTCTCACTCGCCTGCATCAGGTTCTTTTTATCACGGATGCATTACAACACCCAACTGGAAGCGATACATGAAAGAAATCGAGAGAATTTCGAAAGAAGCAGATCATTGCGACTTTGAAGATCTTCTTGACACCATTATTAGAATTTTAAAGGAGTATGAAGTTCAAACAACTCCTAAACAAACTGGATTATCAGGGGTACTTGTAGCAGTTAGCAAATATCTTGGTGATGAATTTAATAGACTCCAGCTTGAAATCAGTGAAAGAGTAACCGAGTTCAAGAAAAGGCATATAACTTCAATTGATAATCTTCCCCCATCATCGATTCTTGTCAAAGAACTTTTCCCTGAGTGTATGCAGGTTTTATTGTTGAGTTGGATGGGAAGCAGGGATGGTGGACAAGACATGAACAGCATTGTGCAAGTGATATTAGAACTTGTGAATATGAGCCTGGTTTCAGGTGTCGCTCATGTCTTGTATTCTAGGTTGATACAAACTGATACAGTTTAATGTCTGAGTGTTCTCTCTAATTTAATTATATGTAAAATATTTTATAGGCTTTTGACAAACCTCAGGGGGTGCAAACTTTTGGCAGTTTAGTTGCTGCCCATAATTTAATAGGTTACAGTCTGAATTAGTGTCTTGTAAGTCTTCCTTACTGTAAAATTTGACAAAGAGTGTTTGTACAAATAAAAGAAACCTCTTGCACCTGTTGGTATTTCAAAATTACTAATACAGCTGACAAATTTGGAAAAGTGATGAAGCATTTCTGAAGGGAAAGGGGTAGCGATTACAGAAGTCAAATGTTTCTGATTAAGATATATGGGGAATTAAGGACAAAAAGAGGATAACAAGGTGATTTATACAATTTTTACAATTTGGCTTCCTGTTCTATGGGAAAGAAATATAGAATAATTAATGACATTATTGATGAGAGAGAATCAGTAAGAATGGTAAATGCTGTGCCATTCATCCATCGACCAGACCACATGGCACTTAAGGTGAGTGATGTGTCAGCAGCTTATTGGCAACATCTAACTCATAACAAAACATTGCAATTTTACATATGCACAGTTATGGCTTTTCTCAGCAGGGAAATCCTGCCAGTTTGTATATAAGTCATGAAGTATATGAAGGTAACTTTTCTTTCATTTTAATACTGCAACTGTAAGTTAACAGTTTGAATAAATTTAGATTAAAATCTACATTTAACATACATCAAAAATAAATAGGACATTTAATACAGATGACCCTTTCATCTGAAAGGCTAACATACTCAATAATTTAGAGTAGTTTTTGAAGTTTACTGAGGTCTAAAACCCACTTCTTCAACCCCATCAGGCATTTCTTGAAGTTCAATTAACTCATCAAACTGCTGTACATGAAACTTTGATACCTGGTGGTCTATCATTGTTTTTATCACCCTGTAGCCCTGAACTGTCTCAAACAAAACAAAGACTGCCATAATAATGTTGACAGCTCTCTCCATTGGCATTATCAACATGCTCTCATTGAGCAGTAGCATTAACGTCAATGGGAGCTGAAGCACTAGGGTTAAGATCCAGAAACCAGCAAGCTCAGGAACCTGATGAAGGGAAAAAGAGTGATTAAGGACAGTGGTGACCTTGGAATAATTTTGTTTCAATCTTAGTAACCTTTGGTTAAATTATACAAAAAAAAATTGTAAAATAATTGTGAAAAAATACTTTGTGGCTGACATGACCCTGCCTTCTGTCTCAGCCAAAAGACTCGTCAGATACCTCTTGGAATTTTCAAGAACTTGTTGAGCATCCCCCTAAGGTAACAATGTTGGCAGACTGGCCCTCTATTGCAGAAGGATTCCCAAAAGCATGTTCACGAGTTACAAGTTATACAATAATAATTTTTTTGTTTGTTAATTTTTGTTTTAAATCTTTTTTTTTCTTCTTCTTCTGGCTGCTCTTGCCCATTAATTCTTACACCTATGCCGCTTGTCAACAAATCTCAAAGCCTTAATAAAGGTACTATGCTCTTTTTTCATACATCATCACCAATTTTTACATGTCAAAGAACAATCGATTCAACATATTTTGAAAAGGAAGATTAGATGTCTCAGTCTACCTTTTCCTGAAGATTTCCAGCATATCCCAGGTAAAGTCTGGCAATCTCCACCAGTGCCATCGCAACATATATAACAATTGTTATGAACTTGTATACTGAGTCCAGCTTTTGATACTAAAAGATACAGAAAGAGAGTATCACGGCTATTTGCAGACCAAAAGGTATTTTTCAATCTTTTTTTTTTCATCCACTGAGTTGATCATGTGAATAAGACTGATTCTTAAGCTCACATTTTGAGCATTAGCCATTTTTTAGAGCCAATTTGTCCTGACAAAGTGCTAATTTTTGGAAAGTTGGCTTTAGAATATCTTTACTGTGGCCAGCTCACATTTTTAACTAAGTTGATAAAAGCAAATCATCTTGCAATACCCCAACTGATGTAACAATACAGTTTCTTTAGAATCTTAAACTGCTTCATTTAATTTTTAAATATTTACCAAATTCAAATGTAGTTAATCTAAACTAGTTTCCCATCATTTCAGTGACTGAGAATTTGACAATCAAGACTTGCAGTGTAGCCTTTACTTTCATTGAGTAATAGGTGATTTTTGCAAGATGATAATTGGTCAGTTTATTTAAGAAAAACACTTGCAGATCAGGTACAAATTTGAAAGTTGCATCCACCTGCTTCTTAGTTATTACATATATTGCAGAAATGTTTGCGAACATAACTAAAAAAAACAAACAAACAAAAAAAATTGTTGAGTTACAATTATGTAGAGGCAAGTTATCTAACCTTTGCCACAAGCATGACAATGCATGTTATGTACCAACAAGGGGAAAAATAGACATTGAAGTACAATGACATCTGCAAGGCCAAGTTAGATACAATTTCATTTCCTAGGAAAGACAGTGAAGGTGAGATGAAATTGCTGATACATCACTTAAATTCATTTATCCTATTATGTCAGATTAAAAAAATTTAAGAATCTCACAGCCCGTTTAAAGATAAGCCGACGGAATCTTTGCTCCCTCCCCCCCCCCCCTCCCCCACCTACCGCCAGGTCCTATCATAATTCACCAAGGAAAGAAGGTGTCACTTGGGTCACAAAACTCTATGGCCTTAAGAAGATTTTCTAATAACGCGGGACTGAGGCTTTTCATAAGAAATAACATCTCAACAGTTTTGTCGTCAGCCATTCATTTTGAGTCCCACACGAGTTTATTTTGACGTTGCTACGTTGAAAAAGTGACAGGTCTGGGATCAAAAAGGTTTTCAATACGGGAAGAATTACTAACAATAATAGGGGAAAGAGAGTTGCTAACCTGAGCTCACCATATGGTGTCGTGGATGGTTTCGTATCGAACGTGATGAGGGAAAAACAGTCTCTGTTACTGAGGTAAATGCAGCCCTGAGAGCGTCTGCCATGTTTGTTTGTGTTTTCCAACCTTCCCAAGATGCAATGGTATGCGAAGTAGCTTCGCCTGTCCCATACGTCCCTGCGCTCTTGCAGAGGTCAAGACAAGATGGCGCATCTTTGGCGAGTTGGTAAATGAATATTGTCAATTATGCGTTCGATTGATACTCTATACTAATTATATTTACTTTTGAAAACTCCCTAAGTACGAAAGATTACAACGCACAATTCTTTGGCGATCAGAACTATTTCGGTGTCGTCCAACAGACTTGCATATAGTAAGTACGAACTTTGAGCGTTAGGTAACTTCGAAATATCATGCTCTTTTAATTGTTATTGAAAAAACGTTTTAATGTGTTACGTTTGTGTTTTTGTAGAATACATATCAAAGGAATCTCAAGATATACCTATGGATTGGCATAGTGCCACGGAAAGGAATGCACAGTCGCTTTTCATCACAGAGTTGCTTAGAGGTGAACAAATTGAACTGTTTCAGCGTTTGATTTAAATATAAACTTAGCACCCAACGTTCTGTTTCCGAGGCACGTTCAAAGGAGGGGCCCAATGGGTTCAGAGGGCTTAAGCTCCAAGATACTCCGTTCACACCCAATTTATTTGATGAGTACACCCCCCGCACCCTCCTTCCCTTAAACTGTGGCCTCAACTCTACGCCATAGGTTAAGTTTGCCTTAGTTGATTAATGCAGTGTTGTTTGACTTTAAGTATGACATTTACCATGGGTTAGATATCAATTGTAATGAGTCAATGCACAAAACAAGGGTTTCCCCTAAGCTATGTTGCATAACTTGTTGCTAGTCAGATTGTGAAACAGGGGCACCTTCTGAAAAAAAGGGAAAATCAACATGCTTAAAAAAAAACCCTTTTTAAAATACACCTCATTGGTTTAGCTATCACATCAACTTCTAATCACTGGTAATTATCATTAGATAGTTTCCATTGGGTCCTGACACAGGGCAACAGTTTTTGTTAGACATGAAGCTACCCAACATGCTATTTGCAGCCTTAAATGACAACACCCCTTGAACATATGGATAAGGTTAATGGACGGTCATCCGAACATGGTTACAACTAGCATATGATTTTATAACAATCATCTTTTTTTTTTTCCCTTTCAAAGTGTATTACATAACAATGGGAATGTCACACAATATTTCTATTTCAAGGTCTTCAAATGACATTGAGCAAGATGTTCCAGGAGCCAGCAACAATTAACTATCCCTTTGAGAAAGGCCCATTAAGTCCTCGGTTCAGAGGGGAGCATGCCTTGAGGAGATACCCATCTGGAGAAGAGAGGTGCATTGCTTGCAAGTTGTGTGAAGCTATCTGCCCTGCACAGGTAAATTTTATATGTACATTTGTTGGGAGATGAACTTTGTTTGTTTGTCTCACGATAGAGTCACTTACAATGTAGATTGTGACATTTCGACTGCAATACTGCTAGTCTTCATCAGGTGATGAGGTCGATTGTTTATGTGTTGCTATTTGTAGCATGTTGGTATGCTGCTATTGATGCATTTTGATCTTCATTATAATTCTGGTTGTTAGATAGTGTTCTCTCAGGTCCTCATGAATCGGCTGTTGTGTTATTTGATTGTGGGTATTGAAGCTTTAGGAATGTCAATTCTGCTATCCCTATTGATGTTGTTGGGATGAGGTCTTAAATGGATAGCCTCTTTGACCCTACATGTGTACCGGTGGGGGTCACGATCAATAAACTTAACCTTGCTCCAAATAGGAATATGCCCATTATGTTAGCAAGCTCTGAAACCACAGAGGTCTGAGTAAGAGCAAACTGTATGTCTCTGTTATATTCTTATATACTTTCTTGCATTGATCTCCCAGTTTCACCAATATACACTTTGCTGCATTTGCATGGGATCTTGTAAACGACACCATCTTGTTTTGATGGTTCCAGGGTGTCTTTAGGTCATACTAAGTGAGACCTAAGTGTTGTGTCCAACTTGAAAATGGTTCATATGCCTTGATGTTGTAGGCAGCGGCAAAGAACCTCTGATGCACCCTTTATGTAAGGGAGAACAGCAGTTGATTTAAATTCCTGTGCTGGTTCTTTGTTGGCTGTTTTTCTTTCAGAGCTGAAAAACATCCTCATCTTTCCTCTCAGTGTAACATCTAAGCTTGACAGCCAGCCCCTGTGAGAGAAATAAACCCACACCCCTACTATGAGGAGTTTGTGGGGTCTCCTTTTTGGGAGGAACAAACAAAGACTGAACTTTGAAGAGTGGTAGAAACTGAGCCTATTAGATGTGACAATTTAAGTTATCTTGTCAGCTGTATACCTACAAAAAATTGATATTAATAAAATAAAAGAAGCGTGGAACACTATGAGACTTAAAGAGTAAAAAGCTTATAGATGTTCACATTGAAATCTACAATGTTTGCAACTAGAAAGGGAAGCTTGAAATAAAAACAACAACAAAACAAAGCAAAACAAAACTAAGTCTTGTCTACCAACTGAGCTATAAAACCCAGGAAGTGGTGGTCACATTTTTGTAGACAACTGCATAATGTCTTTATGACAAGATAAATTCTTGTCACAAACTTGACAATCTCCAGTGTTAGTCAGTAAGCTGCATAATGTTTCTCAAATTTAATGTGTTGTTATCTACAGGCAATCACCATAGAGGCAGAACCTAGAGCAGATGGAAGTCGACGAACAACACGCTATGATATTGACATGACAAAATGCATCTACTGTGGCTTTTGTCAGGAAGCTTGTCCTGTAGATGCAATTGTGGAGGTATAGAGAATTGCAACACATAACGATTTTGGGATTATTAATGCATTATTGAAACTGAAAAATGGAATTAATTCTCAAATGATTACTGTTTTTCATGGCAATATATGGCCACATCTTATTTAGATATTGGTTCTCAACATTTAAAAAGGTTGTTAAGGTTCATTATTTTAAATTTAGTTTGGATGCTGTTATCCATGACAAATATATTTACTTTTACAAAATTTAAAATTTCTAAGAAAATGTGTGTGGCATATTTTGCTGTCTGAGGTTCTGAAACTTTGTTCCAATAGACACCATATACAGTATATTTCTATGGGTGCTGAATTTTTATCACTGATATGCTCCTCTCCCTCAAAACTGATAAATGGTGTAGTCTAAGTGTTCATGTTTTACATGAAAATTCCTTTTTTTACCATAACTTTGTTTTCTATTAATATTTTTCTTTGTTTTAAGGGTCCAAACTTTGAATTTGCTACTGAAACTCATCAGGAGCTGCTTTACAACAAAGAAAAACTTCTTAACAATGGTGACAGATGGGAGGCTGAAATAGCTGGGAATCTTCAGGCAGATTTTCTTTACAGATGAAGGGATTCTGTCATTTAAACCTTTGATTTCTAACTTTGTAAAAAAAAAAAAGTCCTGTTCTTTACCTTGCACAAAATAAGACCCTTTTGAAGACTGGAGGTGCATGTTGAAGATTGGTCTACTGGAAGTTGTTTTTGACTTCAACTGCATTATCTTCATCAAAGACTGTTTAATGGGCACATATAGTCAGCACAGCCATTAAGTAATGAATATACCCATGATTGTGTGAGATAAATAAATATCTGGGTTTGTTAATGTGCTTGTTGCATTGTTTATTTCTTGCATAAGTCTGTCTGTTTATAAAAGAGGCAGATTTGCCAAAAAGTAAATAATAATATTAAATTGAAAAATTGCCACTAAGAACATGTCAACACATCATGTAACTTCATCTGAGAACATAATTTTTGAGCTTGGCCATTGGAAGCTTTAATTACAATATTCTCAGAAAAGGAAATCTTTTCATTTCATTTTTTCTTCATCGTGCAAAGCACAAAGTTAGATATGAGCTTTCTGTGTACAAATATCACAGCACCAGCCAATTAGTGGGCCACATTAAATTCTTTGTGATTTCAAGGTTTTTGTATCACAAAACAACAATTGTTATTACATCAGAATTTGCTGCTAAGTGCTAATTAGGACAGGACATCTGATGTTATAGTGATTTTGAACAGTTAATGTTTATCAAATATCATCTTGACTTTGAAGTGCCTCTGCCCAGTGAGGACTATTTGCATTTGAATCTGAAGTTTGTTCCATGCCATTGCGATGTTTGAGTAAATCTCGCCATAAAAATGTGTGATAACAAGTTGGACAATCTCCCTCCACTGGGATTAGATGTGAGCTGTCCTCACTTTCCATCAGGAATCTTGTGGCCAAACAAATGAGATGAGCTTTCATTTGACAACTCTCTGAAATACATGAAAGACAGTCATCTGCATCCTGAAATAAAAAACTTTTTGTTAGCTTCCTCTAGTTATAATAGCAGATATCTGGGTTACACCCTGGTTCAGATGCTCTCAAATTAATAAAGAATGGATGATTAACATTGGAATGGACATTTCTTTCAGTTTCCAGTTTGTGGTATTTCATGTAAGAAGGGCTACCATCCAGAACAAGCACTTTTGGTGATGGCTTAACTATCCTGCAAGCAAAAGTCCTCTAATACAACTGCTTTAACATGCATTGTCAATTATATTCAAATACCAAATTCAGAGATTATGGATTTGTTAACAAGGCTATCAAAAATTTTCATAGCAAATGACACAGAGTTAGAATATATGCTGGTAAAGCAGTAATTTCCATGCAGTACATACATGCATACCTTGATCTCTTCAGAGCAAACCACACAAGTATAGTGGGAAATATTGACATCTTCAAATTCCTCTCTACCTCGCCTCTTGCTTTTCTCAGGTTTTCTTTTACTTAGAGGTCCATATGCTATAGGCATATGAGTGGGTGGTTGTTTCTCAAACTCCATTTTGTACTCTTGCTTCAACCATCTTATCGTGAGAGGAAGTCGATTCCAAGGACCAACATTAAGCATCTCAGAGAGGACTCTAAAGCGGAATTCAACATCTTTTTCTTTAGTCTTTTTGTTAGAGATGTGGCGAAGACGTCTGGACTTTCCTGGATTTTGCCAAGCCCACTCAAACTGTTTAGTCACAAAGAAATAAATATTATGATAAATCATTAAAATCAATACCATGATAATGAAAGGGACATGTAGAAGAGATGGAATCACTCACCTGTAAGGCAATAATATCGCTGGGAAACCCATGTATAATCAGAATCATCTCCCTGTTGACAAGATAAGATTGTCTGTATCAAAATTCAACAAAACAGTTCACACAAGTGACAGATTCAAGATCAGATGTTGGACCAGACAGATCCACCCCTCTTGCAGGAAGTCTTCGAAGACAAGGGGTGACAAAAAGAGAATTTCACCCACATCAGGAAATTATCACAAACATTGGGTATGAAGAGAAAGGAAAATAATATTTTCAACTGGGTAATAGTTTGATTTAACACAAAAGTCTCACACTAAAATTAAAACAAACGGACAGAGGAGAGTGCAGAGAATTGATATTTGGACCTTCGAAGCAAAAAGGTTTAAAGTTTCCTTGCCACCAACAACTCAGATATCAAAATCGTCGTCATCAACGGGAACATCTATATCTACATTTATTAAGTTTGTAAAATATGTACAGACATCACACCAACTGGTTCTGCACACCGATCTAGATTCTGCCGGTAAATTACATCAATCATTAGGTTAGTCAATACAGGATGCCATAGTATAGTAAAATTTACAAGTCAATGTGCCTGAAGAAGAAGAGAAAATTAATTATTCTCGGGGTACGCTTTTCACTCACCATGGGCCTCGGCCGCTTGTTTTGTAAGCACCTCCTTTCTGCACCCCTCCATTATGCTGTTTGATCCTGCGATTAGGATCAACAGTAAATCCGATATAAGTGCGTCCCTTATAGCGAGGATTTAGACAGTATAGAAGATAAACACCAAAGAAGCCTGCCTCTGTGTTGTTCACACATTCCTCCATTTATTTTCAAACTTTCGCACCATGGAAGTCACTGACCGAGGAAGAATTGGGGACGAGTCCCCATCATCATTGCCAGTCCCTTCCTCGTTTCTCGTTCTTTTTCAGACGTGGTTGTTCATTCCTTATCACTCAACTTAATTTTTGCACGGATCTTTCGAAAATGAGAGATTCACTTTTTAAATGGTATTCTCTCTGTTTGGTTTTTTTTTCCTCTCTCTTTTTTTCAGTAAATTAACTGACGTTTCTCGTAGCCTTTAAATACAAGTACACCATATACACCTTCATAGCACCCCTCTACAATAAGCTCTCCATGTAGTGCTTTGAGATTGCAATAAGGCCCTATTCCCTCTACCTCTTAACCAATACTCTAGCATTGTTATTCATTTGGGTCAAGAATTAGTATAGTTAAAAATATACTAGTACTTGTCAGCCTTTCATAGTTTTCAATTGAAAAACACAGCTCTGTAAAAGGATGTGTGGTATTGAATAAAGCTGAACACAGCCAGAAATAAAGTAATTACCACTTGGTTCTCATCCATGAAGTTTCAATCAGCCCTTCCCACCCTTCTCACCACAGGAAGGACTGGAAGTTAATAAGTGTTTCCAATTTCCACTTCTCTCACACAGAGATGGGACAACCATAAATTCTCCTTGAAACACCAGACCACAACAGAAACACCATTGGATGCCAATTTCTTCCAAAGTTTTCCAATAGAATCAGCACAAAAACTTGTAAATATAACTAAAATAATCAAATATTTTTTCAACAATCTTCCTCATCACAGGAAGTGATAAGGAATTCACACCAATTGCCAAGCTTATCATTCTTACATCAATGTGAGCATGGATTACTTTCATAGACAAAAACTGTTGGCAGTATCTGTCTCTTAATTTATGAGAAGAGATTAGCGTGGAAGACTGTGACTTCCTTTTCCATACTTATCACTTGCACTCATGTTGACAACACTCATCAAGCCACATGACAATGGGAATCTCTTTGTCTCAAATAAACAAATTGTCATAAACAAAACTGCCTTGCTGTTACAACCTAAATAAAATAGAGCCTGTATAAAAATGCATTGCAAGAAACTCAAACCAGACTTTTTTCAATCTCTTTAAAGTTTTACTTGATTGAAAAACATCATTTTTCATTACTAAAATTAAACATTCAATGCGGAAAAAGAAGTTTTCATTTGCCCCTTAACTGTAAAGCAATTCTCATCAAAATGATACTACATGACAAAACAATTGTATTTATTTCTTTTATAGAAAGGTTGCAGTGGACATTTACAACTGTTGACATCAGTTTTCACAGCATGCAATTCACCAAAGACTAGCCATCATGAAGAAAATGAAGCACATGAAGTTTGCAGGACAAAATTCCCAATTGTTCACATGAAAGCCACATGAAATAAGGCATTCTTAGTCTATTACATAATTCACAATTCCTCTGTCATTCATCATCATCTTCAGCATTTTTGACATATCGGTGCTTGATGTGATTCCACAATTTCTGGTGATAAAAGAAGGCAAAAGATATGGGTGTTTTTTTGCACAAATAAATACAAATCAATGATGCATTCAAAAGATATTTGTTTACCTAGAAGCAGAGCTAGAAAGAAAATGTGAAAGGTACCTTTCTATTCAGACAGGAATGTTATAAGATTTTGTAAGAGGCAAATTACTATGCTGCTTCTAGGGTGATTTACCTAATTATTTCCTATGGTTTATAGTCACTTTTTTATCTGATATTTCTACAAAAGAAGGCAGTTAGTTTGGCATTAAGTATAGACTCCTTCCCTAATAGTTTCTGTGAGATAATAATCTTGGTCTGTGTATCTTTCTTACTTATTGCAACTGTTATATTTGTGGAATGACCTATTTCTGTGGAACCATTAAATCCCTTTTCAGAACAATCTGACATGAAGTGACTAAACTGACTGCATTCTACATGAAGAAGTACATGCTATATAGACACCATAAAATACCTGAATTTCTTGTCCTTATAATACCTAGAACACCTTTTTATCCCTTAAATCAAGTTATCATAAACTAAGAATTCTGTATGGCATGTAGTATTGCTTCCAGTACACTCAAATGCTTTTGAGTAATGTAGTCAACTATCTGAGTATGCTGCATTCAGGGCTAAACTGCAGAATGCTGCTCACTTTGGTCCACCTCACTTACATGTGTTTGGAGGCTTTGAAGATCAAGGCATAACACAATAGACGCTATTATTATTCAATGACATGTAAATGAGTGGCTGGGTATTCTGCAGTTGCTCCACATGCAGTTACCTACTGCGACTAATGGTTTGGTTTCAATGATTTCTGATTAAATTCTGAGTAGTAACGATACACTAAAACCTAACTGAGTTATTTAACATACAACTTAAAATTTCATCAAATAGTACATTTAATATTTCCTTCTGATATTAATTTATCAAGTATCGTTTGATCTTGTGTAATTTCATATCAAATAACCTAACTCGCATAGTTAATAACTAAATGTATTTCTCATTACGATCACATTACTAGCAGTAAAGTACAAGCTTTATCTCTCTACCTCACAAATTTGTGTTCAGTACGTAAACAAACTGACTATCTGTTAAAACTAAATATTGAGTCAGCTCACCCCTCGGTTCATAGTTTCCCATAAGTTATCCATTCCAACATCAAAGATTCTCTCAAATGCAAATGCTCCAACAAAAATGGTTACAGCAAAGGTTGAAGTTCGCCGAAATAAAGCATTGTAAACTGTTCTACCAATACTCATCGTCACTCTTGAATCCTGAACCGTCAAAAGTTTGAACCGGCTTTTCACATACGAAGATGGCGGCTGTTGTACTTTAATTTTGCAAAGGATGATGGTCAGGTTGACGTTTGGAGTGTGAAAAGACCTATGGGATATTACGTCATTTTGGCGCCAATATTCACCATCTTTACCATCGTTCGAATTTTCGGCGTGAAGCGTTCAGTGATTTCGCTGCTAATTATTAGAGTTCAACGATCGAATGTCGACTATGCTGTGTGATAGCTCACAAGTGGACGCTGAGGACATGGATGTTCAAGAAGCAAGTGCTTTTAGGTTCAGCGAAGAGCCTTCTTTGGAGAAAATGTAAGCTAACTCTGCCACTTTACGTTACGTATGTTATGCCTTCGCTTTCTACTAATGATAACCTTCTCCCCTTCGATTTTTTTCACATGAATGCAGGCTGATACGAATATATCTATTATTTCAGGTTTCAATTTTAGTTTCCCTCTTTACTTTCAGTCGACAGATGCAGTCGCAGTTTGCTAAAGAAAGAGACTGGGACCAATTTCACCAGCCCAGAAACCTTGTGCTTGCAATGGTATGAGAACTTGCTAATTAACCCTTTAACACCCAGATCAAATTTGTAATTCTCCTTACTTTCAACAATACAGTTCTTATTTTCAGTTCAGAGAATTTAGTATTTGATCAACTAATTATCCTCAAATTGATATATTTCTTTATTCTCACTACTTGTCTGCTTGATATTGTATTGATACTGTAAGGAGAAATTCTGTCTTGGTCACTCATGGGAGTTAAAGGGTTAATTACTGATTAACCTGTCTTGGGAGTTGAACTAATTGACTTACACTCAACTTAATACACTTTTTTTGTGCTTTAGTTTCTGAGAAAACCAGATCTTTTCTTTCTCTTGCAAACTGAGGATCATCAAGGTCACTGTTGTGTAAAAATTCAGCTACTTAATATGTAAAGGGAGGATTTACCAAATTTGAATTATTTCTTTTGTACATGCTCTCCATGACATTGTTTGGTTCTCGTATTCAAAACAGTGTGGAAAGGATGACACAATCAAATTTAAGTTTAGGTGCTACCCAAAGGTAGGCTCCCCACTTCAATATTAAATTATTGCCTATCTCTATGCAGCTGATATATTCTAAGTTCACCACCCCCTCCCTCCCCCCAGGTTGTCTTCCCCTTCCCATGTGTTCTCTAAGTGCAACTCTTTCCTAAATTGGAGAAATATACATTTCTATTGTTTTAACTTATCATGAAGTCTAGTTACAGATCTTCTATAGTTATATAATTATTAAGCTGTTCAAAATGTTCATGCAAAGCCCCTATTTTGTTCAAGTTTTTATCCCTGCTTTTGTTGTAGGTTGGGGAAGTTGGAGAAGTAGCAGAATTATTGTAAGTGAAATATTACTGATTCAAAGTTTGTTGTCCTGTTGTACCACAAACATTAAGATAGGTTCAATTGAACAAGTACCTACTGGTAGGCTTAATTATTTGTCATTTCTTCTATCCTTTTTCATATTTATAGCCAATGGAAAGGTGAAGTAAAGGAAGGACTCCCAGGTGAGTGTAAGAAGTGTCCCTACTTTCTTTCCATGAACATCTCCACACTAAAATATCTGAAAGAAACAAAGCAATATTCCTTTCTCTTGTATTAAGTTATAATAGCCAAGTCCTTGTTGGCGAGAGAGGCATGGGAGGAGTAAAAGCACAACACAACAACCTAGCAAGGTCTTGACCTTGGCCCTCTCACACTGGAATCAAGTATAACAACTGTTAGATAGGCTAACACATCTCTTTATAAGGAATATGGCCTATTTGTTGGTTCACTTAAATACAAGATGGAGAGGTCAGAACAAGAGCACAGGGCTACTCATTATGTTGAGTTTTTGGGCAAAACACTCAACTCTTGTAGCACCTCTGAGAGTAGAAGTGAACAATGACCCCAGCAAATGATCATGTAAATGGACTAGCATCAGAATAATCCAAAGCCATGACTTGAAAAATTTCAAGATTTCAAATTTATTGTATGAGTAGTTCACAACTGTTCATCCTAACGGGTGGATTTTGATCAACATCTCAGTAAATTGTTTGTGATTGCTTTTCCAGATTGGTCTCTGAAAGATAAGCATCATCTCGCCCAAGAACTCAGTGATGTACTTATTTACCTGGTCAGACTTGCAGAAAAATGCCATGTTGATCTTCCCAAGGAGGTGGTGGCTAAAATAGCATTGAATTCCAAGAAATATCCTGCAGATCTGGTGAAGGGATCAAGCAAAAAGTATACAGAATACAAGGAAATGAATTCATCTAATAACTGAAAGATTGTTTCCCTGCTCAGGATAATTTTTTTTTCATAAATTGAGAGTGTGGGTCACTCTGCACAGGAGACAGTGCTAAAATTATACTTGCTTAAAATTCTTTCAATCTATAATTTTTAGACACAGCTTTTACAATGAAGTTGAATTAACTTGTTTCAATGGTTTTTGTTGCAACAATCAGAGAGTTCAGCTGGTTGAACTCTGATCTACTAATAGGGAAAGTTTGATCACAAGTAAGGCTGTCTCCTTGAAAGAGTTCTTCACTTTGAAAGTAAGTTATGTATTCAAGAAACTATTAACAACTGGAATACTACTAGTACATTCATCAGTTGGAATACCAAAATGTTTACACGACTTTTGTGACAATGATATTGTACCACTCATAAAGGCATGGAGAAGTCTAATTGATAAAATTGTAGGAGATCTGCAAGTTGAAACTCATTCTCCTCATGGATATGATTGATATAAATTTGTAAATATAATTTTATAAATAGCCTATTTATTCTTTTTGCTTGGGCTAGACCAGGTCATTCATGTTTGAAGTTAATGTTTTATTTCTTTATAGATAGCAAAATCATGTTGATTCATCTTAGCCAGCTTTTTACAACACAGAGTTTAGGCAATATTTACTGTTGATGAACACTGATATCACTGTTGTTTTGTTTGCATCAGGGGATGTTTTTAAATTAACTGGTTTTTTTTTTAATTTTGCATTTGATGTTCTATTTCACCTTGTGTAATTTTTTTGTTAACTTTTACTAGCTTTTGCAAATGCCTTGTTACTGATTCTTACAATTTAATGCAATTGCTACTTTTCAGTCATGTAGTTAACAGGAAAGTTTAATTTAAAATTACATTTCAGTGAAAATGAACTTTGCATTCCTTCTTTTCCCAATTCTTGTTTTAATTCAGTTCCAAACCTTTGCTTAGTATAAATAGTGGTGAAGTGGTAATGAGGGAATGAAATGTACATTAATTTATCATCAGCAAATTTTTAATGCTACATTTTAACTATTGTTTGAATGCTAAAGCTGGATTTTTTTAGAGGGTTTCAAATGATGTTGAGGCAGCCATATTGGTGTATGAAAACAATAAAATGGGGAACATTTTGATGTACAAAGTCAATCCTTTGGCTTGTGTACTCTTTCCTTGCGAAAACACTTTCCTTTGCTACAAGCTGCCTACCATGAGAGCAAAAACATTTTAATGCCCCCAAAACACAGTGTTGCATGCCAGAAAGAGGATGGATTCCTGCTTTCAGTACGGATGGTGAAGGGTTGTTGGAAAGGGCAACACCTCTGCCTTGCCTCACCCCTGAAGGTTTGGGTTCACCATGTTCAACCATCAACCTAGTTTCTAAGCCCTCATTTTTGCTTTACAAGCTTGTCTGCATTTGTGTTACACTTCTCACCACTGGGATGTTCATTTGGAGAGACAGATACATGGATCGCTTAATGAGAACAAAGGCTGTTTCTTTCACCTCACCCCACCCCCAAAGGATTTTAATAAACGGGTGAGCGGGCTCTGGAAACGACGAGTTTAAAAAAAATGGCGGACGACGATGGATTTCGAGTGGTAAAGAAAAGTAAAGGTCGCAAACACAGGAATAACAGAGATAAAAACGGATCTTTTGTGAAATCTCGGAACATCTCGACCTCCTATGATTCAGAAAAGTGCGATGTAAATGAGTTAAAGACGAAAATCGAGAAATGCAGGCAGGCAAAGGTTTACTTTTTTACGAAAGTTTTGTATTTCGCCTTGACGATGTACTGAAGATGAAGGTTCTACATGTTTACTTTACTGAATCCAGATATTTTATCTATTAGGGAAGAAATTTTCGGGAGTGAGTTTCTTTTAAATGTTCAAGGTAAAATATAATAATTAGAGCATTATCTGTCAACTTTTGTCAGCCTCCTTAGCCCTTCCCCACCCCCACCCCTTCTGCCTCACTTATCAACCTGAGGCCCAGTTTCTAAACCCTGGACAAACAGGAAGAGACTATTGTTCAATTATATTACATGTTCCATACCCTAAAAATTTTAATATTTCATCAAGGATGTCTCACTCAACCATGAAAAAAAAAAAAAAAAAAAAAAGAATGGCCTAGTGAGGGTGGTACAATTGCTGGTGACCCAGTGGTTTTTGTTATGGCCCAGGCATTCTGGTGGTCCGAGCAGAACTGGAACCCTGCATTGAGAGTCCATTGTGCTCTCCGCTCAACCATGCTGCCTGCTAGGATTAATTACTCATTTACTAGTTGGCCAATGGAAGGATCATTTTTCAGAGGAGGTACAAAGAGGTGCTATACAAAGGGATCCCTCCCTAACAAGTCCTCAATTTTGTTTCTCTTTAGAACTACTTTGTGATGGTCATCATACAAAGAAGTCCTGTTGTCCAGCTGAGTCTGCTGTTAGACCAGATAACAAATTTAAAGTCATCCCAGAAGAACCTGTTACTGATATTGTTTGTTATGGAATTGGAAAACTATCTTCATGTCCTATAGCTAGATATCAGTTTGCCTTTTTGCTGTTATTGAAAGAGTTGTTAAAGGTAACTATGTCTGGTGATATCATTAACTGTCCAAATAGCAAAGCTGCTGGACATTTATTTCTCTAATCTTGTTCTTAGACAAACCACCTAAGTCTCATACTCACTTCTAAAAGGAGAGTACAAATTGGGTACCCAAAATTATCTGGGAGATGATAAAAACCTCTTGCAGTAACCTGTTATGTCCTAGTTTCCCATTCAGGATGATAATCAATACTCCTAGTCAACTTGGGCGTAGAAACTAGGATAAGTATGAGTTGTACCTGTGACTCGGCATTAGACTTTTTTACTTGGAGGGTGACATTCATTTAGGGATAGGGTTGTAACATGTTATTGTACATTTCCAAAAGAGACTTCTAGGATGTTTTTGAACAACAGATCTGCAATATTTTGTTGACTGTAATACAGTACAGTGATCTTTTCCATCATGGTTAGGTAGAATTGTTTTGTGATTAATAACCTTTCTATCGATTTTTTGTGACTAGATTAGTGGATTGTGTTTTGTCTATGAACCTCATTTTTCTCAAGATGACAAAGCAGTTGTTGAAGAGTTGGGATGTTCTCTTATTGATCACAATGAGGTAAGATTTCTTTCTTAAGTATCAGATTTATGAATAAAAGGTGATGGACACTGGAAACATGAAGGAGTCAAAACAATGCTACACTTTAGTCTAATTACTCTAATGACTGTTTTCTTTTTTCTTCTTTCTTTTTAGGAAGGAAAGAGGAGGGTAGAAAACTTAACTCTTTTTTTCATGCTTCATTGTGGTAAACCCCTTTACAACAGTGTTCTTTGGGCTAACTGGGGTCTGGGGCTATCCAATGTTATCATTCTTGGGAACAGATTTACAAGCTATCAAGAAAGGTAGGGGTCTTGTTAATTTTTTTTTTCGTTTAGGTCATTACCATCAACTGTTTTTGTGCTCCATGGCTTTCCCTTTTGTGAAAGTGGGTTGGTTGGTTGAACAAATAAAAAAGAAGAAAATTGAACATAAGAAATAATAATTCTTGGATTAAACCTTAGTTCAGGAAAAGCCTGAATAAAGATGTTTACTTACTTTGGTTAAAGAGATACAAGTTTACCTTGATTAAGCATTAAATGATAGGTATCAAGGAAAATCAATGTTTTTTTTATATTGTTCTTTACAGAATACCCTCCAGAAAGCTAAGAGAAGAAGCATCATATATTTACAATGTATCTTTTTTTTCTTCAGTCTATCATATTTCCATCTATATAACATTTAGAATATGAATTTAAAACTTCATACCAAGAGCGTTGCCAAAGAGGGAGTTAAGTTTCTTAAGGAGATACTTTGTTTTCCAATTCTACTACTTGCTATTTAACAATAATCTAAAAATTAGGAAAAAAGTCTTTACAGGTTAACTGAAAAAGAAGCCTAAAAAAACTTCATGCTCTAAGGGGAAGTTAATCCATGCTTCCAATCACTCTGAAGAAGGGCTAACACTTGAAATGTCAGCCTTTAAACTCTCTATGGTGGCCAATTTATGTTATCAACTCAGTTGATAACACTAAATTTCCCTGTGATACTCTCCCACTGATGCAGCACCACAGTTTCTTTAGAAACTTACCCCCTTTATTCCAAGATAGTGGTTAGGCACTACTTGAAAAAAACATGCAGTTGTTTTTGTTTCATATAAACTATCTTTGGGCAACAACTTGTCACAATTAAGGCTATTTGTGACTGTATAAGAACATTTTTGTCACTTTTTTTTCTTCAGTCTTTTGCTAGCTCACCTTTTCATCAGTTTTTCAAATGTGCCACTGAAAAGAGGTATAATTCTGTGATAATAGCTAGTTTATTGTAAAATGTTATTCCAACAACAACTCAAACATTAAAATTTTTTCATATAGAAGTTGTAATTATTATGGATAACCTTTGGTTTGTTGTCTTTGTTCCTTTACCTGTAACCATTCAGATACTTCCATATACAAGTGAGACACCAATTCCTAACACTTTTCATCACAGTGATATCTTCAATGACTCTGGAATCCATTGGTTTCCCAGGGAAGTGCTGGCAACAGTACCAGAAACATTATGGAAGGATTGCGCTGAACCAGTGTACTGTGACGATGACCCTGAAATTGTGACATCTGATGTAAACATTTCTGTTTCATAGCCATTTTAAGAGTTTTTTAAAATAGTTTGTCTGAAATTTCTCTTATACTAATAATAATTCCAGAAATTCCTCCCCTCCTTCCATGCTAATGAAACAAACAACATTATCGTGAGACCTTTAGTTACCTCAACCAGAACTTAACAACAGGCATAGGCTGTCTTTACGCTAACTTAAATTTGTGTTCTCGTGCCGTAATTATCGGTTTTTACAAGATTTTTCGTTATATTATTTTTTTTATGCCTCAACATCAAATGCACATTACTATGAATACATTTAGTGGAAAATGAAGAAAAGTTTCACCCTATGATTTCTGTCTATGACGTCCAATAAAACCCTCAGGGAGTTGAATGGGAAATTATCAAATCTCTGTACATCTACTTTTTTTCAATGCATCTTTGTTCTCCAAAAGATGACGACAAATTCGGAGACTGGTTTCGATGGAGAAACGTTATTGGTTAAACTGGCTCTTGGAGAAACTCAGTTTAATCAGAGCCGCTACAAACCAAGTAAACCTGTTATGGACCCAGATTTTGCGCAGAAAAGATCGGTTCCAACCGGCAGAGAGAAATTAGAAACTTTTAGTGTGGTAGGGTTATTGGTGGGTCTAATTCTCAATCTTTAAATTCATGTAAATTATACTTTCTGGCTTCGACAAAATATTTAAAAATAGAGTTTTTACACAAAAGCAAGGCCAAGAAAGCTAATTTGCACACATAGAAAGATAACTAATCGCATGCCATTATGAAAGAGGTCCATAGCTAGGACCTCTCAATGCATAAATTTCTGTTCGTGTCGCCCACCAAGCGCTGGTGACGAGGAAGCCTCAGGGCTCCTGAGAACTATATATATAGAAGTAACTACGAAATACTCTTAATACGCTCTTGGTTTTACAATCTTTCGGTTGAGACCTATCGTGATACGACCAAGATTGTGTTCTTACATTTGAGAGTACATTAGTCTTCCATTCGTTGCTGTTATTTTCAAACTTTTGCATCTTGCTTAGCGTGCGTGAAATATATATTTATACCTGGAAGCACTGTTGTAAAACACCCTAAAAGTTAAATTCTGAGAGAGAAGCATATCACCAAAACACAGAAAGCTAACTTGTAAGTAAAAAAAAACTGCCTTTTTTTAAAGGGTTTTCGCCATAACCCGAAAAACATCATGCACTAATAGGGAAACGGAACCTTGCACAGAACCAGCACATTTTTAAGAGGAATCTTTTAGGAGCCTCATCTCGTGTCATGTGGTCAGGATAAAACCCCTAAAGAGTACTTAATAGTTAAATTTGAACTCGATGTTCTTTCAAAGAATCCTTTTACGGTTTTTGTGGTTCGTGCCCGATCCGCTGGTCATACAATTTGTACACATCTCAACATTCAGTGACAACGAGGGAAGATACAGGTAATGTTATCTTGGTGACGACAACCAGGAGATTGCACAAAATATTTCACGCGTTTAACATACCGACCTTACTTTATACCTACTTGATATGGAGACCACGCTTGATAAGTATGGGTACGAAACGACTAATCTGACTGGTTACGAATGGTCCTAGATGAGTTCGAATCGACTGGGTAGGAAACATCCATGGGTACGAAACAACTGGTAAGCAAGTATCCGACTATATAAACCGGGCAAAGAATCAGTTTGAATAACTACTGAATCGATATTTGACCAATACATTTGCCTTATTGACCAAGCTTGAGGTTAAGTTGGCTGAATATTGGCTGAGTTCTTTTTCTGCTTGTTCGATCAAGGTGGCTGAATATTAACCTCTTCTTTTTCCGTGTTTTCATGGAACTCGACTTCGTCTTGGTCTTGAACGCAAACAAAAAAAAAAGGCGCACATTGATCGGCTGGCTCAGAAGTGAGTAGTAAGAACTATTCAAAATCTCGCGGTAATTTCCTACTATTTCTTGGCATACTTATAGAAATTAACTCGTTTTCGGTTCTCGCGTGGTCCGTGAATAATTAGCTAATGTAGAGTGAGTCTAAATGTGATTCTGTTAACATCGACATGAACTTTTTTCACTCTAAAGAATTGCTCATTGTTGGGTTTTCCAATTGATGAATACATTTTCATTGATAGTTTGGAGTATTCAGTCAATAAGAGAGCTGTTATGTTAAAATTTCAGACTGACGAACTGTTTATAATCTCTTGCGAATCACCATGACCAATGCAATGCAGGTTGGTGTTACGCCTTCTGGAATATAACTACAGGAAAACAATAACTTCACCCCAAAATTTTGTTGATGTGGAGGGTTCTAATAGAAGTCTCAACAAACGTGATTACTGTGTGAGCTCTCATGTTACAGACATTTCAGTTTTTTACTCAGCAGATTCAGGCCACAAAATTTTCCTCAATGATTCATAAAATACCTTTACTCTTGGAGAGTAAGTCAATTTTTTTAGACTCCAGTGTTCTATACATGTTTCGATCATTGGAAATCTGTTCGTCAAATCAAGGAGACATTAGGGGAAATCAGATCAGAAATCAGGCTGACTATTTTATCGAGGGGTAAAACAAGATTCAACTGAATCGCTGTACACTAAACTGCGAGCAAAGAAATAAATTAAAGCGAGGGGAATTTATGATATGCCATAGCATTGGATCAGCCAACATCAAAAAGCGAAAAGCTGTTTCAGTCTTTAATTCATGAATACTGAAAAATGGTTGTTAAATACGTAAAATACCGAAAATTGCAGTGTTTACAAAACCGAGCAACAGTACTAGAACATTGATTTCAAAAGGATTAAATTTGGTAAACTATTTCCTAATCTATCTATAACTAAGCTTTTTGTCGCAAGATGTTTTCATTCATATACCTGTCTTGAAGAAAGCATTGGCTTAACTTGATTCTATATATTTATCAATTTATATTTAAGATTTATGAATTATTTTCTGTTTTACATCGTTACGCATTTTTTTTTGGGATGCTTAATTTTTTTTAGCAATTAATTTTCTTTTAATTTTTATGTTATTCCTTTCGCATGACCAAGAATTGAGAATTGAGTTTGTCAGCCTTTAAAAATTTCAAGTGGTTATATAATTATGATTCGAATTCGAATTGAACAGCATTTACTTAAAACCACTTTCTATTGTTTTTTGAAAAGCAAATTTACTGAAATACGGAGAGACCTTACTTCTTAGTAAACCCGGAAATAACAATCTTTTACTCATTCTTTGACGAACTCGTTGACTTAGTCGTAAGCAGTAAGCAACCTTGTTTGTAAGCTTCGGTTCAACAAAAAAATAACACTATCACTCAGTTTCCGTTCGTAATTAATTTAGAGTTCGAAGATCGATTTTCTGATTATGGTGTCACGCTTCTCAGTTTAGTACAGTTATAATTTTTTGTCACCAGAATGACTTACTGGACTTGTAACGGTTTTCCTTAAGTTAACGGACCGTAAGAACGCAATAAAACCGTAAGATTATGAACTACCGTCCAAAATATATTGCTTATATCATATAAATACTTCTCCTATTGCAATATTAAAAAACACAACAACAATTTAAAATTCTTTATCATGAAGTTTTTAAATATGCCCGCCAAACGTGGCTTTCAAATCCGCAACTTTTGATCAATTTGGGGTCACAGTTTCAGGTTGAACTTTATTGATTTTTACGACGTTGTACAACTCGGAAACTTCTGTCCACGCTCTCCACGGTTACACACACAGAATAATTTATCAAACTCACGTGTAAATTTGAGCGAAAAACAATTGTTAAAATAACAAAAGAAGAAAACTTTTTTCCAATCATTAGCTTGATTAACAATTCCTGTAATTTAGAGTGTAATTCAAATTACAACCGTCAAATAAATTTGTCATGAAGACACATACACGGTATTCAATATCAACTCACCTTTGAAACATTATATCAATTAAGTTGTCGTCAATCCCAGACCAATATTCATAATTGTGGAGAATTCTTTGTATTCAATGCTTTTAATCTTATCTTCTCTTATTCTGATTCAGGAACTCGCAAAAACTTCTGACCAAAGGTCACCTCAGAGCACCATAATAGACATGCTCGTGGTGAGACTGTCAATATTTTGGCTGGAAGAAGTCTGCATCCAACTGGTGACAGCTTGAAACGATCCGAACTTCATTTGAAGATTCTATTGAATTTGGATGCAATCTTAAAGTGTGATAACCCTTTTGGTTTGTTAGATCCTGAGTTAAAATAGTCCATCTGTAATCTCACTGGCTAGGCTTGAACCACATAACTGGCAAGTAATGTGATACAAGGAATACAAACAGCTGAATCGTTCAAAGAAACTTCAATATATTAGCGGTCAACCAGCATCTTTCTCGCCGTCATTAAAAGCCGTTTTATTTTGATCAACGTAACCAATGAACCTTCCAGTGGCATAGATCAGTGATTCCATCGGATCTACGCGACGTTATTGACAAATAACCTCATCTGAGCTTTGTATTGCAAATGATGAAGCTTCATCTAAGGTATCGTCCAATTCAAGAGGTTGGCTTCCTACAAGTACTTTGCAGTCGAAAATATTACAGGGCCATGTGGTTGTGTTCTTTAACAGTCTTAATTATGATGATTACTTATCACCTAAATGGGGAAGAACTAGGTATACGTGAGTTCGATAGAAAGAATTTCGTCGGAGGCAAGTTCAAACATGCGATATCGCTGCTTCTAAAGAATTCTTCGTCCACGAATACAAAGCTGATCTTAAATGCAAGTCTCAGTATAAAACAAAAATCGACTGTGATACAAAATTCTACAAAAGATGGATCAGCTCATACAAATGATTGTCAACGTTGGTGTCACAAAAAAAACACAGCCAGTTCGACGTATTTTCTCAGTGGAGTCTTGCTTGTACGAATTTACTCCAGCGACTTGGCAAAACTCAGCACAAGAGAACTACTCCAATGGCTTTATTATCTTAAGTACGCTGGTTTTGAACATGTTTACGTGTACGATGCTTATGTTTATGAGAATGAATCACAAAAGAACGCTCTCGAATTCCTCGTAAAGGAAGATTTCGTCACTTATGTGGACTGGAGTCACAACGCGTTTCCCTACTCAATAACTGGGACTCAGGAAAGTGCCTATAAACATTGCTTAAAAACTTGGGGCAATAAATCGTATTGGCAGGCAAGCATCGATATGGATGAGTACCCTTTCTGTCCAGAGGACACTAAACCCAATTTTATGCAACGTTTCATAGCTAATTTTTCCAGAGAACAACCTCGTGTTTCTCAGATAACGATGAAAAATTTCCTGTTTCTTGGTAAACCTCTGAGCGATAAGGAACACCCGATCCTTATCGACCGCCTCAAGCGGAGAACACACAGACCGGCCAACGATTTGGTTAAACCCATCTACAAGACTTCGCATATAAAGCAATCTCATGTCCATCACCACGACTTGTCACATGGCTTTTCAGTGGACGCTGATGAAAATAAGATAAGACTTAACCATTACTGGGGTGCCAGGCTTCAAAATTGGGGAGAAGACACGCCAGAAATTTTATCAAAAACAATGGAAGATAACACAGTGGAGGAAATTGTAAGAGAACTCCAAAAGTGTGATCATGTTTGCCTGCCGGACGAATCCATAATTCATACAGTTCGCTGGAATTGAGCGATTTTCGATCTTTTAAACTAATGTTATGTTTTTATTTGTTTAAAATGTTGCCAACCGCTTTATATTTATTTTCTTTTGGTATAGATTACTACAATAATGAATACAAGACAACGAGACAGAAAATGAAAATTAGAAAAAATTAAACCACAACACACTACATTAAACGATGCTATTGAACTATAAAATGTTTTTCTTTGTCCTTATCAATTACATTCTGTTGTTCGTAGCCAAACAAAATTTACGAAGGGAAAAAATGCTTTCACCTATATTTAGAGATAGAGCTCTGTAGATAAGAGCTTAATGAAATATTCATTTAATGAATGAGCGTTCCAAGAAGAAGCTCTGTGTGTCGCCGACGTTTAAAAGATAATAAGGAATAAAGAAAGGAACAAAGGCATTATGAATGTGTTATTTTACTAAGTGATAATAACTTGAGAGTTTCTTCACAGCTTCCTTGAGTTGGATTATTTTGTATTTTTGATGAATTTATTCAAAATCTCGTGAAAGGAACATGCAGGTGTTATCATCGAGTTTGTTGAAATTGAATAGAGGTGAATTAAATATGCAAAGTGTTTACTTTATGAACATTTCAGTTAAGATGAAATACCATTTAGTTTTAAGCCTTTTCAGTGTCGTTAATTTTAATAGTCGGTGAAATAAACCGTTCGCATTTAGCAATTCCCTTCTCGTATGATTGGTATATGTGCAAGTGCACAAGATGAAAAAAAAGTTATATTTGTTTTGTTTTGTTACCATGCAGAGCAGGTAAAATGGTCATATCTTGCACTGCTAGCTAAGTCTTGATCGCGTGATAAAACAAACAAAGAAACTTAAATCCGAAACAAAACAAAAGAAACATAAAAAACGATGTTAGCCTATTTAGATTATTTAGAAAGTCTGTAAATTCTAGGAAAAGTCACTTGAAAAAAAAAATTTATAGTAACATCGTCACAAACCCAGAAACAAAGCGTCTCGAAGGATATTTAAAACATACATTATATGAACCAGGAATAGTTTCATATAATTATTCATTTTGCAACTCTTTGATATAAACTCTTGACCATGTCAAAATTTTCCTAGTAACCAATATAGTTCGTTTAAGTTTGCTGGTACTAACTTTGGTCTCGTTCTTCCTACGGGATTTTTATCACTTTATAAACGCCAAAGGACTTATTAACGCCCTTTGAAATTGAAGAAATTTTACGAGGCTTCTGGTTGAGAGTACAAGGGCTGCCTAAATGCAAAAGTTAGCCAACCTGTCCAACACGTTAGCCAGTTTGTTCAACAGGTTCCTGCTTATTCAAACACGGTGCGTTTGCGTGTACATCCTTCATCGACCTTTACTTGTACTAGCGATTAATTACCAGCCGCTGCTTCGGGAAATGAGCCCGCGTTCCTTAGTGCGCTTGAGCCTCAGAGGAAGGTTACGATGTCGATGATAAGCCTTACGAAGTCTACCTACTTTGGACGAAACTTCAATTTTGAAATTTTAAACATTTTGAGAACTCATGTTTTCCATCCTCTACACGTTACTTACGCTTCTCAATTCTTGCACAGTAGATTTCCTAATATCTAGAGGTTAATCATGCCATTTCATAATTCAGATACTACTGGGCCACGAAATCCTCAATTCTCGGGTGAGGCTAGTAAAATGAATTTTTCTTTTTTTGTCTTCTTTCCCTCTTCTCTCTCTTTCTTTTACACATTTATTTTAATGTTCGAAGTGTCTTATTTGTGCCCACTTCACGACATACAGATATTCTTTCCCGTTTTCCCACAATGAATTCTCGAACGATTCAAAATATATAAATTCAACGTCCGCGGACTCGCAGAATTGCACCAGCCGAGTTCCTCTCCTGTTCCTTGCCTTATTCCTTTCTTCGGAGTCACGCTGCGGTGCTAGAAATTCCACTTATCGAATATCCAATGTCATTAAGCTTGTATGGCTGAGGTTGCCATATTGGTGTGACACCGCTCCCACCGCCACCGTCGTTGTCGTCCTCGTCGTCGGAGAGGCCCGCGAGCTATACCGCTGGCCATGTTGACCATGAAAAAAGAAACACAGGGGTTTCATAATTTCCATGCATGTTTTGTTTTTTTTTTTTTAAAGGCTTCTCCAATTTTTATAGGTATGGGGCTTTGCTCCCTGGCCCGTCGGGCCGGCGAAGCACCGTCATAAAATTGGATAGCTCGTTCTAAATTCTAATTCTAAATCAGGAGCTCCGAAATCATGACCCCGTCGGGCAGCACATACCCCTATAGGCAATGTATAGGAGTCCCCCCCCCTTCCCCGGGGTCTGACAAAGCGTTTTAGCAAGGATCTTCGTTTTATAGATTCAGGGGGCTTTTTCTACAAAACGAAGACCCCATTGATTTCGCGTCAATTGGCGTCTGACAAAGCGTTTTAGTGAGGGTCTTCGTTTTATAGATTCAGGGGGTCTTTTCTACAAAACGAAGACCCCCTTGATTTCGCGTCAATTGGGGTCTAACAAAGCGTTTTAGTAAGGGTCTTCGTTTTGTAGATTCAGGGGGTCTTTTCTACAAAACGAAAATCCCCGTTATTTTCACATCTGTTTGCGCTGAGGAACGCTTTGGCTTGGTTTTTTAACTGTCCGTGCCTTATTCGGGCAAAAAAATTAGGGTCTTCGTTTTTCGGTCTTCGGTCTTCGGTCTTCGGTCTTCGGTCTTCGGTTTTTGGTCTTTGGTCTTCGTTTTGTAGACACCCTCTAGCCAATAGGATCTCAGGAAGCTTAGAAAATACTAACGACAATCACCCGAATCGGAAACTCGTCACTAGTGCTCCTCAGGCGTACCTCTTGCCGGTAGGATTTAAGCCCAACGGAACCGAACGGTATATAAATTTCCAAAGACGTGCAATGCTAAGCTGGTGTCTGTCTCTGTCGAGATGTTGCTTCAACAAGCTTTCTGCGATCAGTTTATTGGTATATGGCATATCATTTCTTGGTATTTTCCCTTTTCTTTTTAAAGACATGAGGTATTCTTTATACTATCAGAACCCTTTCCACAACAAAACAACTGAAATGGCATACCATATCAGACAAAATGAGATGCGAAGTGCTGTTGCATCACAGTTTTGGAATGCACTTCAAAGTGAACCATTTAACTTTACCAAGACAGTTAAAGATGTGGACATTGACGTCGTGATCATCACAACTTCTCGGTATATTTCTCTTCCAAATGGGAATAGTCCGAGGTTCTTAACTCAGGTTTTGTGGCAGTTTTTTCAAATTCTAAACAGCACTGAAACAAGACAATTACCATGGAAATTTGGCTTGTCAATATGCAATGTGGATCCACAGCCTTATGAAGAAGCACAAAACTTCTCTTCTTTGGTACAGTATATTCAGCGGTACTCAGTGGAACCAGAAAGTTTGCCGGCTGTTTATATTAAAGAGAAAGAAAAGCAAGATTATGCATTTTGCCTGGAGGAGAGCATGAAGTCCAGACCAAGGTATTCTCTTCTGGTTGAAGATGATGCCTTTCCTCATCCACAGCTGTTTCAGACTTTGTATTATCATATTGAGGAGAAAAAACGCTTAATGGATTCTCGATTACAAACCAATAACGTTTTGTTTTATAAACTGTATCATCCTGAAAGACTTCAAGGATTTTGGAGTCTGGAACCAGAACGCCTTCCTGAACTTTTTAGCTGTGGTTGTGTATGTGGAACTTTTGTAACTTTTTTAATGCACCATTTACTGTGTTCTAAAGAAAATAGAAGATGTAAGCCTAAAAATGTCTTCAATATCTGGATATGGGTGGTATTTTACTTCACTATAGCTGCATTTCTCATCAATAGGCCACATCTAATGCAGTTAAGGTATCTATCAAAGTATTTCTTCACTGTTGGCCCCACACCATCATGCTGTACTCCTGGAATGCTTTTTGTTGCTGAGAAAGCCAGTCATTGGGTGAATTACATGAAAACTCATACATGTGGTGTAAATTATGGGAAGGACACCATGCTGGATGACTATAGAAAAAAATTTAAGGTGAAAGGTTTAATTGTACAACCTAATTTATTCACACACATTGGGTTTTATTCATCTCTTAGTCAGAAATTATTGGGTCCCTCTCTCATGTACTATCCACCATGGTTCCCTCTCTATTGATACTTACTAAGTATTAATATTAGTACTTATTTGGTAAATTAGGTAACAAATAGCAAATGAGGGAGTTTATAATCAAGATTACTGAAAGCTGAACCATTACAAATAGCATAATATTTCAACTACAGAAGAACTTCAATCTTACAAATCCTTGATTTCTCAAAACTTTTGTCAATTTGAAACCAAAACTGACTTCACTTTTTCTTTCTCTCAAACAATGTTAATTCACCTCCTCCCAATAAACCCTTTAACTCCTAAGAGTGACTAGCATCTAATTTCCCCTACAGACTATCTAACTTTATTTTGCTATTCACAAAAAAAGCTTAACAGATTCTTTTAATTTCAAATCCTCATTCAAAGCATGTCTGCTTTGAGAATTTCTCATTTTTGTTGTGTTTACTGCTTTAGAGAGCAGTACAGAGTCTTTTAAGTTCAAATCCTCTTTCAAAGCTTTTCTGTTTTGAGAATTTATTTTTGGTGTGTCTACTGGTTTCTTTGTGTCTACTGCTTTAGAAAACGGCAGACACTTTAGTCATCGAAAAAGCCAAGTGCATAAGTTAACAATATACACTTGGTAACCCCTTCACTGAGAAATGGGTTATAGCAAAAATGAAGACCCCCTGGAAACAAAGACTTACTACCTAGGACCCGAAAATGAAGACCTCTTTATTTTCTTTATTTAACATGATCTTGTTATGGTTTCTCACAGGAAATATCCAGCTCCTGTTTTAATCTTCTAAGAACAATGAAGTATGCAATCAAACACCAGTTACAAATAAAATGACCCTGAAAAAAAAAAAACCTGAAAATGAAGACCCCTTGTCTCTGTCAAGAGATGAATGCAAAGCAGGGATAAGAAAAGCTTTACCTCTAGCGAATTTTGCAGGTGGCATATTAACTGGGAATAGAGGGCATTGTGTGAAGAGACCAAACAATGACTGTGAAGGAGACCACAGTAAGCATGGCAACAATGTAGTATATTTTTGCTTAGAAGTATTTTGACAATAGAGACAACCGACCGCAAAATACCTGTGTGAGTTCAGATAAATTAGGTTTTTTTTTCCTTTGTCTTTAGGTGAAGTGATGCAATATTTCTGTTCTTTTGACAGTCATGCTCTTTTTCTGTTACAAAGTGAAAACATTAGATACACAAAGTGTCCCATCTCAACCCAACCAGCCAAAAAAAAAAATAACTCTTGCATTATCTTTTTGATTTCTGTGTAAATCTGTGTCTAGTGTTTTTGTCCTTGAAAATAAGTTATTTCAATGGTCCACTTTCATTAGAGCACTTTTCAGGAAAGGGTAATTTGTAAAAACTGCACATTATGTTATTGGTTTCTCCAAAATTTTTACTTAAATCCATAGGCACATGAAATACTTAAGTGCCAATGAAACTCGAAGTCTGATAAGCATTGTAAGGGGTGGAAAAACTGAAGACAGTTTGTACCACAAGCAAAGTCAATCACAGCTTTTGTGAGAATGAATAGTAAAGTTTCATACTATTGTTTCTGAAGGACCACTTTACATATGTAGTTTTGGTATAAACATGCAGTTTCATCTGCCACAAATATAACACTAAAATATCCTGATATTCAAAATTATTTTTTTTAAAAAAAGTAAAGAAGTGTGGATGATATTGAAAGATTGTGCAAATCATGCTATAAGTACCATGTAAAAAAAAAAGGGAAGTTCCAAATGGAATATAGATCCCAACAAAACCTACTTATCTTGACTTACAGCTACTATTACACTACTTTAAAACAGAAACAATTATTATAGTATAAAAGTTCTGCTTTATCTATGGATGTGAGACCTTTCGAAGTAGTAATAGTAGCCCACTCTACAAGACTGAAGGAATTACCTTTGATTTGCTAATTACAACTAGCTGACATAAGCAGGGTTTCTGTTTGTGTCCAAAAGGCATCATTTACTTCTTTGCTGTTTCATGTCTGGTTTCACAATGCATTTGCAACCTTTCCTCCCACCCCCTTCTCTATCCAAATGTACAAACACCTGGACCACTTTTCATTTATTTTACCTCATACAAAATTTTCTATCCAATTCAAGCTTGTAAATTCTACTGGGAATTATTTGTGGGGATTTGAAATCTTCAATACCACATCTGGAAGACCACTGCATGGAATTTCCAAAGTGGTAATGCTTTCTCTGACCAATTCAGTTATTGAGCTTAATATCAATTCCTTAACCGCTGGTTTCTGAAATATGTGAAGAAGTGATGTTAATAACAGTAGTATACAATGATAAAAAACAAGGTAAATGAAAATTGAACAAAGAAAGAACAAATACCTGACAGTTAGGATACTGATGTGAAACAATATAAAGACATTCTAGAAAAATCTGACTGATTGGCATGAAACTTATTTTAATATGCTAACATAGCACAGAGATTGGAAACTGGGAAACCCCTTAAAAATGTTGCAACATGACTCACTATAAACCCTGATAAATTCTAGTTACAGCTACTTTATGCATATTAGCAGGAGACATATGCAGCCATTCGCTGCCTATTTTTAGAGACCTCTTTCTGAATAAGTGTACACAAGTTCAGAATTGATGGATCAGGCTTCTCAGTTTTGTTTACTTAGATTGTCTTTATAAAAGGAATAATCCTGTGAACCAGTTGTTGTGCATGGTTTAAGCCCCACTTATTTTCATCATCATTTCAGTTTTCTTCCTGTGGTCACACATGGTCATCAGTTCTGTTACTGAAAAAGAGATCCTAATATCTCTATGAACAAAACTTAACAGTTCAGAGCCTATCTGAAAGTAAGAAAGGCTCATAACAAGAAACCTCCAGTAACAAAAAGCCTGACAGTTCCAGTCCACATTCGATCATGTGCCTTAATCAAAAGCATTTTCAAAAAGGCTGCAGCACACATTTTGTAAAGCTCATCACAAAATCCTCTCAAATGATTACTGAAGAAGAGTCTGAAGGAAATCAGACTACTCAAAAGCAATTCTGCTTCATTCTTTATGTTCCTTGTACCAAGAAAGGGTTGAAATTGCTGTCATCTGAGATAGTAATCAATAGCTGTAGAAAATGCTGCAAATCCAAGGGCACCCATAACAGCTGCTTTACCACCAGCTACACACAGATAAACATAAAAAAACAAAAACAAAAACAAAACAAAACATTAGTGAAACAAACAAAAACCTTGGTGAAAAATATTGACATTTCCACCAAAAGATTGATTACAAATCAAAATGAACATTTCGGGCCCTTGATGCAAACCCATTGCCTATTACAACTACTCAATGTAAACTTGCTTGTGCATTTTCTAGGTCTCTTTGGCCAGGATGAAGGGAAAATGTACTTTATGTACTATTATAATGTTTACAAGATATATATTTATTCAAATGGGAACAAATCATTGGAATGCAACTTGCCTCTAAGCCCAATGAGACCTCCTGTGATACCACCTGACAGTGTTCCATTTTTCCAATCACTCTTTCCGCGAAACTGAAAAATAATATTATAGAGAAAGCTAACATAGCAAAGATAACATGTTATTGACATGTTTGTATACTATTTAGGACTATAACAGTTTTTGAACCATCTTGACTTAACTGTTCCTTTCCTTCCAGACTGTATTGATGGATTTAGAAAAAAAAAAAAAAAGAAAAAAAACAGATGGGGAGGGAGGTGACCTTTTAAAGGGTGGCACATTTTGCAATAAGAGAATTGGTGCTACTCTTATGCCATTGTATAAGGTAATCACATGATTGTCAATTCTTCTCTTCTTACTGTAACATTATCCACAGGCTTTTGTAAAAAACACAATGATAAAACAGTTGAGTGGCGTAAAACTTATCCAGCACACTTACAGATTCAACTAGGCATTCTGTTCCAGAAAACATCAGACCCACCACACCAAAATTTTTACCATATGACACTGCGCGTGACTTCATGTCTCGTAGAATGGCTTTTGCTGACTGATCAGGGACCCCAGTCATAGGGTTTGGCATAGAAGAGTCCATTCCAGCCGTAAACAAACCAAACACAGCACCAAGTCCATAACCTGTATGAAAAAAGTGTGCAATTGATAAAACAGGCAGCTATTCTTCCCAATAACATATCACTTACTTTGAACAAAAATACTCAAGAGCCCATTTATGCCCCATTGCTTGAACACAGAACAAATATCCCAGTCTCCTGAGTGTACAGTTTACAAAATCTCCTAGAGAAGGTCACATTTCCACCTTTTATTGGTGTTATTTGTAAGTCTTGTAGAATTTTTGTGACTTAAACTGTTTCAAATTTGGATTTGGCGCTTTTCTTAATTCCTTGCGGAGAGACTAGGTCGAAAGGGTCTAGACTGTGAAAAAGGGGGTGGAATGGGATGGAATGTGATCTGAAATCAAATATGTCTAGGTCTGTATGGTGTGCGCGGAAGTTAAATTTTTTCACTCTCCAAAGAAAGAAGACGATCATCTATGAAAGTGGTACTGACTAAATAGATTGCTCGTGATATCACTTAAATGCATTTTACAACTGCAAGACATCTTCATACCTACAACTCCGGCTAAAACTGACTTGAAAGCACAATTTTCCATGCCCCTTTCCACCATAAGTTCCTGTGGAGTTCTGATTACATTTGGAAGTCCAACTGATGGTACAAACGGAGGCCTTTGCTTTCTCGCCTCTTCAATGGCTGGAATGATCGAACTCAGCGGTAATTGCCCGGTGTTTGGCAATAACCTTTCTTGCTTATCTTTCGCCGATGAATCCGCCATTTTGGATGACGACGAATTGGTTCCAGTATTTCGCAGATCATAATGAATGCAGAAGTCTGGAATCACTGACGTGTCTTTGAGGAAGCTCAGGCAAGATGGCGTACCAAACTTTTCAACAAGAATACATGCAGATCCCCGTGGTTACACGGACGTATACAACTGCCTGTGTAGTAACAACACTTGCAGTGGTAAATATGACCCTGTAGCTAAAGTTTCTGCCGCTTTTCTTCGCATGTAGGGAAGAAAATAGAGAAATTTCTCGTTGTGCAGGGGACTGATCTGTCATAATCTTTCTTCTTGCTTTTGTTTGTTTTTAGCAACTTGAGCTGATAACTCCGTTCCAGCTTTATTTCAATCCCGAACTTATATTTCAAAGATATCAGGTTGGTCTTTCTTGTCGTTTCTTCCGTGTACCTACATCATAAACGTTAGCTACATTTTAATTTCCATAAAAATCACATTTTCTTATTGATAGATAACATTTTTCAATGGAAATGTGCATATATATATATATATATATATATATATATATATATATATATGTGTTAATGTAAGCTTGTTAAGATGACATGCATTTTCTATTTAGAAAATTTTACTCCTCATTTACTTTTTAGTGTAAAAATTTAAACATCTGGGCCCGGTTGTTCAAAAGAGGGTTAAACTAACCTGAGGTTAGGGCTAACTGAGGGTTAAATTTCTTAACCGCAGGTTTGTTAACACAGGGTTAAAATAGCATTTCTCAAAGTACGGTTAAAGAGCTGGTTAGTTAACCTCGTGTTAGGCGCAGCTAACCTGAGGTTAGCAACCCATAATATTCTTTTAATAAATTGTTGCTATGGTGAGCAAGTTGCGAGCTACAGAATGGCTTCCCCCTGCGGTCTCATGTAAAGCCTGTAAACAAAATTTCAGCACGTCTGAAATAGCCATCTTAATGGAAAAAGTAGAGGAAAACCTTTCTATTATACAAAGTAAACTTATGAACAGCGTCACAAACCAAAAAAAAAATGAAATATGGTGTAAAATTGCGGATGCTGTCAACGCTGTAGGGGTTGCTCGGAGGATGACCACTGAGGTCAGAGAAAAATGGAAAAATTTACATGCACAAGCCTAGAAATATTTCCATCAGCATTGGGGGGGGGGGTGAAATGCAGTACATTATACATTATTGCACATTGCCTTGGTCAATATTCTGCAGTAGCATATTAGTACAATATCAAATACACAATACCAGTGAAGTAAAAATATAAAAATAAAGAATCCACAATTTATTTGAATTATTTGATTTACTTACACCAAATTGCATTTGTAATTATGTTACAGAGTAAATTTTTTAAAGACAACAAAATGGGCGAATGCAATTTGGAGTCTTTGAAAAAAAATATTTTAAACAAACTTACAACTCATCACCTATTAATAATTTACATAACAAAAGATCACAGAAAGTCAAGACAGCACACATGTTAAAAGTGTCAACCAATAAATGTTTGACAGATGTGGTCCCTTATTGACAGACCCTGTTGAGGTCCATGGTAGGGATCCACATCTGCCAGCTCTTCTACCTTTTTAACCTCCATAGGCTCGTATAACAGCAAAGCAATGTTGTGCAACACTGCACAAGCACCCACAATCATGTAAACCTTTTCAGGTGCCATTCTAATTTCTGCATGCAACACATGAAATCACCTTTTCCATCAGCCAAACGTTTGCTCTATCACCTCTCTCGTTTTTGTGTGTGCACTATTGTGGGCTTCTTAGGATGGAGTTTTTGTTGCGAATGGTGTCATTAGGGATGGACTGCAGGCATACCCACTGTCTCTGAGAAGAACGCCATCATTTAGGGAGCGATGGTTATTTTGCAAATAACTGCAAATGTTACTTGTCCAAAAGATGTGGCTATCGTGAATACTTCCTGGCCAGTGGGCAACAACATTGGTAAACATGCCTTCAAATCAAATAATATTTTTGTTGAGGTTAAAGCTCGGTCCTCCTTTTGATTTGTGTATGAATTTTATCTTACATGTCTACATTTTTATTTTCTTTGGGAAGTCTTGCTATAGCCAAAAGTTTACTCACCTTCATGGTTGCAGACAGCTTGTACATTGATTGAATGAAAACCTTTTCTGTTTACATAGTTGTTTTCATTCATTCACTCTGTAGGTGCTTGTAATCTCACATGAGTTCTGTCCACACATCCAACAATCCTCCACGAATATAAAATTTGTTTTTAATTTTTGCACATTCGTCATGTGTCAAAGGCCACTTGATAAAGCAGGGCTGTTTTGCCGCTAGAGCTCCAGATGCATCCGTAATGGCATGGGAAACAGTGGACTTATCCACACCGAAGGTGTTGCCTACAACTTGAAGGAAACCTCCACTTGCATAAAACTGGAGGGCAATTAAAACTTGGTGGAGCGGTGATAAGGCGTGATTTCGTCGAGTGTTGCGAGTTATATCACCGGCAACAAGATTTGTAATAAATAAAATGGACTCTCTTTTAAAGCGCAGCTCTTCGTCTGTGAAATCGTTGATTTTGAACTGAGTGCTGGTTCTGAAAAACAACAAGTTCGCCATTTTTATTCTTTATTTAACCAGAGGTTAGCTATTTAACCCTACTCACACAGTGGGTTAAATTTAACCCGCTGTTTAACCTGAGGTTAGTGTTAACCTTCGAACAACTTGACTAAAATTTTACCCCAAGGTTAGGCTGACTTAACCCTGGGTTAAGACTTAACCCTCTTTTGCACAACCGGCCCCTGAAATGGAGAAAAACAAGAAATGTAATCAAATTACTCTTCTGATGAGATAATGAAGAATTTTTCTACTTTGGTTTTAGTTTTGGAGACTGGTAACTAATTTTATGTTTTTTGGAACAATTGGATTCAATTTCTTCTTCAACATGATTTTCACGTATCCTTCTCTTTAATTTTTAAGTTTGCAAAGTTACTGCTTAAATGGTTGACTTAAGTGCTTATGAAGTGATACTATGGATATTGACCCTTTATACCCTAAGATCGCTAATTGTATTCTCCATACTTTTCTCTGTACATTTCCTTTGTTAGCAATAAGGAGAATTTCAATCATATGCCTCTCCACCTAGTGATCATTCCCTTTACTGTCATGACCATAATTTTTCATTCAGGGGTGATATTGTAAGATCATACGTACTCTTATGGTTTTCATGATTAAAAATGTTTTGCCATGATTATGGAAAATGAAAATTCCTTGACGCTTGAAAGCTACCGCTACTGTAGGATGTTAGAGGAAGGGTCATTCCGAGGACGAACAGCGGATTTTGTTTTCATGTTTATATTTGGTGGAGCTATAATGACTGTATCCTTTATGAATCATACATCAAATGCGTGGAACATTGCTCAGAAAAGAGTTATAGTCACTGATAATGTGAGTGATAACTTGAACATGTTTGACTGAATAGTTAAATGTCATTAAATGTTTGTAACAGAAAATTTCATACTAGAGATTTTTCTTTCAGTTAAAATTTCCTTGACACCTTGTCATCAGGTGATTGCTTTGTTTGTTAATTTAGTTTTTCTGGGCCAGGCTTTCACCATTATGTTAGTGTACATCTGGAGCAGGAGAAACCCCTTAATACGAATGAACTTTTTTGGTCTTCTTACTTTTAAGGCACCCTATTTACCATGGGTGCTGTTTGGGTTTTCCCTCATGTTGGGAAATTCTGTCATGGTGGACCTTATAGGTAATTTCACTCAGATTTGCCTCATCTTTCCTACAAGAAATTTTATCATGTTGTGCTAGTTAAGTTTTAAATATGTAAACCCTTTAACTCCCAAGATATGATGTTAAATGCTCTTCTCTTGCTGATGCACTTAGTAAATTGGTTACAAGAATTTGTTGTTAGATCATGATGACAGCTTCTACCTGATAAGTTTGAATATTCTCATCACCTGTTTGCTGGATAATGCATGGATATTATAGGGAGAAGTTACATGTTAATCACACCTGGGAGTTAAAGGGTTAAGAGAGCTTGTATTTATAAAGAAATCCTTGTCAAAGTGGTCAATAGGAAAATCACTGGTGTTTTGTGATATTTCCTTATTTTTTCAGTCAGTTTCAGTTAATATTAAGTTACCTGGGACTGTTAGAAAGTAGCTAAATTGATTAAGATTGTACGCCAAACTTTGTTTGTTGCCCATGCGACAACCTACTAGTAGTAAATACTGTATATTATTGCTGTTTTCTTATTTAGAGAGACCTGAAGGCTCTCATTAAATTTTAGCCTGATGTTGGAAATTATAAAATTTCTGGCTTCCTTCTCCCCATTTGAGTGAGAGTCCCAAACACTAATTGTTTAGCTGATATTTTCAGGATTAAATAAAGTTTTAACTGACAAATTTCACAAATCTTTGCAGGTATTGCTGTAGGTCATGTGTATTATTTCTTGGAGGATGTGTTTCCGGAGCAGCCAGGAGGATTTAGGATACTCAGGACTCCAGGAATCCTGTATGAAATATATTCTGAAACACCCTTTGCATAATTTTGATTAATCACTTATCATCGAGTGTAGAGAAAAAAGAAAACAATGGATTTCTGAACGTCTCTGGTGCAAGCCTGAGTTTTTTAACCTACAGTCTTCTTTTGGGGCCTTATTTGCCAAACTCTTTGCTTAATCTACTGGTCTTTCTTTACCCTTTCACACCCAAGATCTCCAAGTGAATTCTCCTTACTGTCTGCCTTACATTTCTTTTAACTTGAGCTCTGAGAAATTTGTTTAAGATCCAACAGGGTTCTTTGGCTGATGTAATTCTTTCTTTTAATTACCCTTCCATTCGATAACATGTTGATATTGTAAGGAGAATTCAGAGAAGTGCTCGCTCCTGGATGTGAAAGGGTTGATACTCTCCATTTCCTTTGCTCTAACCCCATTTGGAACATGTTGGTTGGATAAGCAAAGTTAATATGACTCTAAAACTTCATGTATGGATCTAAGATAATTGAAACTACAAGAAAAGTACAATTATTAAGTCAAAAGGAGAAGTGAGGTCTTTAAAATATCCTTGAGAAAAATTCAGATATGTCTAGGAATATAAATAAGATGAAAGTTATATCTAACAAAGTTTTTTCTAAGCACAGGAAAGTGAAATCAGAACTGGGGCTGGGGTTTTGAATCCTCTCAGAGGACTGGGATCTTTTGTTGTTCCATACCTTTCATTAACATCAGTTCTCTGTGTCTGAATTGTATGTAGGAAAGCCATTTTTGATGCCCCCCCTGAGGATCCCAACTACCAACCCCTCCCAGAGGAAGACAGGCCTGGGGGATTCAACTGGGGTGAGGGACAGCGAGTGGGTGCTGCTGCTGAGCAAGAGGAGTGATTATAGCAATGAAAACAGGACATTTTGCACAAAAGACTTTTCACACAAGTCTTTTAGCACAAGTTTTGGACCGTTCACACAATTCTTAGTGGTCATTTTGCACAATAACTATAAGTGAGAAACATCAATTTAAAAGATATACTAATTGATACTGATAAGACATTTTACCTTCACTTGTCACCTTCAAGGAAAAGTTATAGAAGTAGTCATTCAAATAGGGAGTTCTTTACATTTTCATAGAGAGAAATTCGTAATTCTCCTTTCTTCAAGTAAGAGTAGTAATCGTGTTTACAAGCATTTCGATCCTGTGGAAGTCTTGGTGAAATGTCTTATCAGTATCAATCAATATTCCTTTTATATTGATGTTTCTTGCTTATAATTATTGTGTGAAATGACCACTAAGAATTGTGTGAACGGTCCAAAACTTGTGCTAAAAGACTTGTGTGAAAAGTCTTTTGTGTGAAATGTCTGGTTACCAAACAGGACAACTTTTAAATGTGTCACATTTCCTCATCATTAACATGACTAATATATTCTTCAAACTCATGTAATAAATGTCTATGCTTTTTAGGTTTACTGAAAATCAACCTAGTGACAATTTCGATCTCCTAATAGATTCTCAGAAGGTCACCTACTATTTCTATAGGAGTAACAAAGATGTATGAAAGCAATTTATATGTTGAAAATACTTTTACTGAGACTAATTAAAAGTGATTTTAAAATTAATAGTAAAATGGTTGACTGTAGGGCCTACTTCTAGTGAAATTAACTTGGCATAGTTTTTTCTCCAGGATAAATGAAGATGTGGACAAAACAAAATCAAAGCAAGCTAATGAATATGTTTTCGTACTGTGCATTTAACTTGGCATAGTTTTTTCTCCAGGATAAATGGAGATGTGGACAAAATAAAATCAAAGAGAGCTTATGAAGATGTTTTCTTACTAATGTCTTCGTAAGTCTTACTAAAGTCCTCTGAACAGGCAAGGGCCAATTCGACAAAAAAAACAAAACAACGCCTCAGCAAATGTTTTACTATAATGTGTCAGAAAAAAGTAAATTCTTACAAAGCAAAAAAATAATAATTACTACACAGACAAACTACCTAGAAGCCACTGCAAAACAAAATTAAAGAAAGTGATGACAATAAAGCTGCTTACTAAATGCTGAGGATACCTATGGGTGGTGGTTGGGAAAACCAAGAAAAGGAAAAATCTACTTCTACAAACACTGATTACGGATAGGCACAAAAAACACTGGTTAAAATAAAGGGGTGAGACAACAAGCTATATAACTAAATTTACATACAGCACATAACAAAAAAGCGTAATTAACAAAATACCGAAGAGCAAAAAAAAGTACATGATAACAAGTGACAAAAATGAATACAAAAGGGATAAATTTGCTCCAACATGGTTCTTGTTTTTGTTTTGGCCAAATAGATGTGATAAGTTATATGTGGACCTTGAGTTCAAATAGAGGGTCAAAACTTAGTCCTTGTCTTGCAAGATAGACCTAACATTTGATTGAAGTAACAGTATTTAATCTTCTAAACTGATTGATGTTGTAATTATATTGCCTTTTGTTTATCTCACTAATATTAATATTGGAAATAATAAAATTACCAGTAAGAAATGGCACATTTATTCCTTTTGCTAGTCTTGTTTATGCTTGATTCTAATTGATGCTTAAATTTTCCAAACATTTCAGGAAAACATTTTGTTAGAAATTCACCTGTGAACCATAATAATGAATATAAACCCTAAAAAGTTCATTAAAAGTTGAATTTTGTACAAAAAACCTCTTAAAAGGCACTGAGTATCCTTTTCATGGAAACGCACATTTGTAGACAGTTATTTATTTTATAGACTATTTATCAAAATTTTTTCGCAATTTCTATAGTTTAAGATTACCATAATTGATCATGTCAAATTTTCTGCATGTGCTAGGGAAGGTCTGTCAGCTAGCATAAATGTTGTTTCCTTTTTTTCAGTACACAGTATTTTGCTTTGGGTCAGATAAGTGTTACCAATTAAATGTTTATTAATTTTGGTCATCATTAGAGACTGTAACATACTTTCTATTAGTTCTTCAATTGAGGAAGATATGGCTTCTCTTCTTTCCACAGAAATTTTATTATATGTTACTTGGGGAGAGGAGTTTCCGTTTATTAATTTTATTGTTGTAAGAAAAAGGGCAGGGAGATAGAGGGAATGATAGTTGTTAAGAAGATTTAAAATAAAATTGATTTAATAACCTTGCAATGTACTGCAGTGTTGGCATTGGATTCTTTTAAATTTTGTAAAAATTTTAAAATTGTTGAACTCTGTAATAGCAATCAACCTGTGCATTCTCCACACATCAATACATTTCTCAAACTGGAAGAGACATTAAACAAACCTGTCAATGAGTAAGAATTCAACTGAGTTAGATGGAACTTCTCCTACTCTGTAAGTAATTATACCCTTTCACTACTACAAGTGACCAAGACAGAATTTCTCCTTACAATATCAATACAATATAAAGCAGGTAGGTGTTGAGAATAGAGAAGAATATCAATTATGGGATTATTAGTGGATTCCAATACCTAGTTCTCTGAACTAGCATCTTAAGAATTGTATGGTAGATAGTAAGGAGAATTACTAATTAGATCTTGGGAGTGAAAGGGTTAAGAAGAAGTGTTTTGCACCTAGAGAGGAGAGTTAATAAATGAGTTGATCATGATAGTAAAGGGGGGGGTTCAAAACAAGTGCAAGGAAATTTGCTGAAAAATCTCCTTGCCTTGTCACTTGCAAGGAAAGGCTGGAAAAGACACACCTGGCTTGATTGAGAAAGCTTCCAGTTAACCCCTTACATCTTAACATCAGTATGCATATTCTCCATACTGTTATCTTCACAATTCTTAGGTGCTGACAAGGAGAATTAAACAGTCAAGAACTTCTCTGGTTGGTGATCATTTCCTTTATTCTTGTGACCATAATGTTAGGTTACAGAGTGAAAATGTAAGAGAAATTTAGATGTTAGTCTAGTAAGAGTGACTAGCATCTAAATTCTTCTTACAATATCATCCCTGAATGTTAGGAAATGTAAAGAGAAAAGAATGGAGAATATGCATTCTGATGTTAGGGTGTAAAGGTTTTAAGGTTATCTGGGAGAATCATTTTGGAGTCAACATTGCAACTAGTTGAGGTGGTGGTTCAAAGATTATTACCCATCCCATCTTGCCTGAGGCCTTTCCTTTTTTTCCTGAAGGGTAGGGTAACCCTTGGTAGTTTATCTTATCACTTCAAACCTTCAGTATACCTATCCCAGATAAATGATCAAAGTAAAGTTATGACCTCAATAGGTCTCACCTTACTATAAAAATAGTTGAAGCATGTGGATGAGATGCATTTAGAAGCTACAAACCTTTATTTGAAAGATTTACAAAATGTATACAACAGTACACCTAATCAAGCTGGGTCTTGCCTGCACAATAGAAGTGCAGACTAAAGTGAAATTCAGTTTGTTTAGAAACTGCCACTTTAAACCCCTTTTCCACAAAAAGAACAAGTCACATGCCTCTTTTTATTCAAACAGTTACCAACAAATCAAACTGATGATATAGACTAAGATAATGTTGCTTTCTTTCAGTTCAGTAAAAGCAACTCATTTGTGAGTAATCATAGCTACTGTGTCTCCTCTTGTACTGTTCCTATTCCTTTTTTTACATTCTTTACAGTTACAAGTCAAACATTTTCAAGTTTTCTTTTTGTAAACGTCTTTTTACACTCAGAATGATACCTAATATACAATATTAGCATCTGGGATTAAAAAAAAACTGACTACAAACGATGATGAACCCATTTCATTACACTGGTTTCTTGTACTCAATCCTCTCCACCTTCACATCATCCTGAATGAGCTGGTACACATATGTTACAATAGTACCTCCTTGAATGTCCATCAACACAAATGATGGTACAGTGTCACTGCAGTAGAGGAAAAAAATTGTTTTGATACAAAATCACCATGGGTAGCCACCACTGTATTCATAGAGCACAGCACTGTTATTTTTTTGTGTTTACAGAAAATGGAAGAGAAGCACAAGGTGAGTGCAAGGAAAGCTCAAAGGGTGCTCAAAAGATGCTCTTTAAAGAAAGAATTGTTTAAATTTAACTCAATTTTCATAGATTTACCTTATTTCTTTATTATTTTTCATAAATTCCTTTCTAAAGAGGGGCTCCAAGCTTAACCTTTTGCAAATTGCCACTTGGTGACTTGCAAAAAATAAAATATTATTCACAAGAAAAAAGAGTAGTCTAAAAGAAATAGATACAAGTCATATTCTTTTATGTATATGTTTACAAAACTACTGCATGGCCATTAAGTACAGATCACCAAATAAAAAAATTTGCTGCAAATTTAGTGGCTAAAAATGCTTGTTTTTCTTTATGACAATTAATCGAAATGATCGTAGCTTGGAGATACCAGATGTATATTTTACTTTTATTTCTACCTTTGTAGTGGATGATATGCTCCAGTGGCTGAACCAGGATTGATATAAAACCTTCCCTCATGTTCATATGCAGCAAACTTGTGTGAGTGGCCATAAATAAGTATGTCGACATCGAGCTGCCGCTGAAGCTGTTAAAGACAAAAACAAAACTATGATCATAACAACACTCCATACAACTATTACACATTAAACAATACTTGACAAATTCATCAGCTGTATCTTGATATACTTCTAACTCTCCAATTAATTTCTATCATGATGATAGATAAAGCAGCTAAAAAGGAGATTTACTGATTAGATCTTTATTAAATATTAGTGTTACATCACTCACCATTGCAAGGGACTCAGGGTCCCCCCATGGAACGATCTGATGACCATGACATACTCCTATCCTAAACTGTCCCACATTCACTACCTTCTGCTCAGGATAAGATAAATTCTGAAAAGAAAAATGTGTCCTTGTCAATCTGTGGATTCTATAAACTCTGAAACACCACTTGAAATATTAAATTCAATACATTTCTGTATGAAAAATCACTCACTTCTGATTAGCAATCTATGAATACTCTAATCTAAAATTCCTAAACAACTTTCTCATGTTGTTGTTCTGATATTATCCACCCATTTTTTTCCCCTCTTTTCAACCCTTTTACTGCTAAGATCTCATTGGTAATTCTCTTTACTATTTGCCATGCAATTCTTATCACATAAGTTCAAAGAATTTGGTACTGGATCAACTACTAATCCTCTGATTGACATTTTTCTTTATTCTCGTCACTTGTCCGCTGGATATTGTATTGATATAGTGAGGAGAAATTTTATCTTGGTCACTGATGGGAGTTAAAAAGGGTTAAGACTAATAACTAAGTGGTTAAGTATGAGATTTGCACACAGTAATAACTGAATTTAATGGTGTCTCAGCCAGCATTTTCACCATTTCCATCACACTAGAATTAAAGATTGACATCTTGCGACAAAGAAACAGAGGACTTTGTGAAACTCAATAACATATAACCTTTTAAAAGCTGTCAAAAAGTGAAGAGCTTGAATTCCAATTTGCAGTTAAATTATCACGCAAACATTACATCACATTACCACAGCAAAAGAGGAAAATTGGTTTTCAAACTACCTCATCAAAATCCCCTCTGACAACATGGACATCACTGGCCAGTGTTTTGAGATAGTCATATGAATCTTTTGCACAGAGATTTCCAGTGCATAAGATGTGCTGTATTTTTCCAGGTACCTGAGAAATAAAAAGACAAAGCCAAATGAAATTATAACCCTTTAACTCTCAAATTCTACAAGAAATTCTACCCTCCAATTTTTACACCCTGGTATATTCCTTTCCAAATTAGTTAAAGAATTTGTTCTTACTTCAAGATGTCACTCTCCAGCAAACAAGTTTGTTTTATCTCATCAACTTTATGCTGGATGATGTAATTTCATTAGGAGGGCAATTTCTAAACCCTTTACACCCTGGCATCAATATACATATTCTTCATACAGTTCTCTATAAATTTCTCATAGTGCTGACATAGAGAATTGCTGAACAATCAAGTCACTCTTGGGGTGTAAAGATTTAACTAATTATTCTGATATATAAAGATATGCAAAAAATGCCAGGCAACTTGTAATATGCTTGTTAAGTCTATGGTCATTTTCACACAGGGTTTGTGTATTAAATGTATTATTTCTGTTTGCAGAGACTGAATGACTTAGTGCAAGGTAGCAAGGAAGTAAGAATTTCTACTAACATGATTGACTCACCAACAATTTTTTAAACTTTGCTGGTAAACTGTGTTGCCGATGAGGAATGTGAAGGTCCCCAAGTACAAGAACAAGCTACAAGATGTGAAGTAAAGTAAATACAGTAAAAATTTCATTACCAATTGGATTTCTAATAAAAGTAGCTGCTGTACATTCCCTTGCATTTCCTGTCCATTTCCAAATTCTAACTTTTTTGTGTAAGATGTTATAACACTTTTCTGTAAGATTACCTCAATCAGGTTTGAAAAAAGTATAGTCTGGTTATTGTGATAGTGTAATTTCTAGCCATTCGTATACGCTACCGTGAGAAGTTAAGACCAAAATTTCAAGGAATCAAGCACCCGGGTTCCCGATCTCATCATCTACTCCTCTGTTCCGTATCCCACGGGTATTAAATGCACCCCTGATATTATGATACTAGTATTGCCTTTTGTACCCAACCAAGAAATAAAATATTTTCGGTCAGCCTTTTCTATCATGCCATATTGTGTCTGAAAAAGAAACAACCTTGCAGGATAAAACTGAAAATCTGGGCAAAGGGTTGATCTGACATGTGACCGAGTATTAAATGTTGCTACACTCGAAACTAAAAGCTCCATAAAAGGTGAACTAGCCACAAAATACCATCGGATAATTTTGACCAAAGGTAAAGGCTTTCTTATCATCTCTAAAATGACGAATGTGGAATATAATTAAGCTAAAATTTCTCATTACAAACGACTTACCATATTGACTCCCGTGAGTGTCGCGATGGAAGTACCAACCTTCAATTTGGCGTGGTCACTCAGCATAGGGAAGAAACCGGAAGTAAATCGCAAACAGAGAGCCAATCAACGGCTTTCTTCTAAAAATAGTTGCAGGAAATGTAACCAACAATTTTCACTCGCGCTCTGGCTTGGAGTGAATCTTCACCCACGGGTTTCTTCCCTTTATTCCTATATTAGTCCCTGTCTCCTGGTGGATTCTCCGGCATAGATCAAATTGAATGAAATTTGCCTTGGTCTGAAAATAGGAAAGTCTATCTGGCTTTGCTCTCAGACAGCGAGATGCCCAAGTTGAAAGGAGTCGAAGGCACAAAATCCCACAAGAAAATGCGAAGAAAAAGGTCCACTGCGAGTACTGTCAAAGGAAAAAGAAAACTTGGAGGCAAGGGTAAAAAGGTAACTAACTATTGCAGTTTTCACGTAAGATTTAGTTTGCGTTGACCGAACGACCGGCATGATTTTCTTCTTTTTGAAGATCTTTGCGTGGGACGAAATAGTTCATGTTGTCTTCCTTCTTCCCTTCTTCATAAATCCAGTGTAGTGCGCGATGAAAGTAAGGGTGCTTCTGTCATATTTACTTACGGTTTGAATTACATTGAAATTTTCAAGGCTCTCAGAAAGTGCAGTATCACTTGTCTTTGGATAATACGCAATGGTTGAAATAATTTGCTTGGAAGTGTTACTACTCGCGTCGATCTTTTGTGTAGGTAGGAGGGTCTCGAGACTATAGTGTGCAGACAGTTTCTCGATATATATGTAAAATAAAACATAATTTTTTTTCGATGAAAAATCTTGTTGCGTCAGGCAGAGGATGAACATGTATTTGATATTTTATGTTGGAGATATTCAGAAGTCGTACTGTATGGCTTTGCCCAGTACTTGTCATGTCGATTTCAGACATCCATGGTTCTCTAGACCTTTCTGTTGGCTTTTGAACTTACAACTTCGAGTTGATTTCAATTAGGGGAACAAAGCCTTAACCGAAGATGTCAAATATTTGGATCATATTTGTTCAGGGGTAATTTTTTCGGAGCGATTTTCGTTTCTTGGCGATCAAAAGTCAGCTGTGACTCTTATCTGCGCGCGTTTGCTGTTGCGTCGAAGGAGGACGCAAGATCGATCTTGAAGGAAACTTCTGGCCGGTACCCGTTTCTCAGGAGATAATTGAAAAAAGCTGCGTAAAACAGTTTCTAAGGGATCGTACAAAAGATCGCTGAAATTTTCTATCAGTGACACATAGACAGAGTTTAGTGTATCGAGTTTTAAAAAAATTGTTTTTCTTTTGTAGCAGTCTGGAAGGAGCGTGAGCCCTCGGAGCGATTCATCAGAGGACAGCGTATTTAGCAATCAAGCCTGCGCACCACGGACTTCGGGAAGGATCAAAAAAATGGCGGCAGTGTTCAATCGAGAGGCGAGCTTTGATGACAATCGTTCTGATGTTTATGATGACGATGAAGATAGGGGATTTTTCCACATGAACGAATCAGATGAAGGTATAATTTAGTTATTGAGAGTGCGACAATTTGTATGTCGAAAAATGGGTAGTTTGTTTTACTTGTGGAACTCAGCAGTGCATGCATGGATATGTTTACATGTTAAGTTGCAAAATATGTAGGGTGTAATGTTTCATACATTATAGTCAACAGACTCTTGATTTGCATTGTTTGATAGTAGATTCATTTTGAGTATTAGTGGGTACAGTTTTTCATTGCTCTCAGGGCTAGCTAAGGTGCCTGCATGAAATTTTGGATACTTGTGCATGTATGTGAGCTCCAGGTATTTTTTTTTTTAGATATGCCAATTAACCCAAAAACACTTAAGATTCATACAGTTAAGAAAGGAGTTCCCTCTCTATGTTTTGACTGTATGAAAGATTGGGTTCCATGGCAATGGTTAACAAAAAAATGTTTGATTAAATATTTGCAATTGGTTTATGGGCTTTGATCAATCAAGATATTTTTTTATCATTGATAAGACTTTGATGATATTCTTTTTAAAGCCAGACAGTGTGAATTTATTTATTCAGCAATAAATCCCTGATATACTGTATGCTAGAGAGAATTGAAAATTTGAAGCTGAGAAATCCATTTTTGTAATGTTGAATAGTATGTTGTACCCATGCTACAAGGTACATGTATGATTAAAAATGTTATCTAAATTGAACTTTAGATACAGAAGATGCAAGTGAAACTGATATGGCAAAGCTTGAAGAGGAGTTTACAGAAATGAAAGAACAGTAAGTATTCCTTCCCACTTGATAAAAAGTTAGAGAAATTGCTTATGGACAACTTGTCTTACCTAATCCACCATAGATAGAGCTGACATGTAATCTAGACAATCACAGTATTTTTCACGAGATGTGCTCATTAGATTTAAAAATGCTAATTTATAGGTTTATTTATATTTCAGAATGTACCAAGAAAAGTTACAGGATTTTAAACAACAGCTACAGAATTTGAACAGTGGTAAGAAGATGAGTGCTGCTATTAAATTTGCTTTTGAACTCAAAATTAAAATGGATTTTCACTGCTAAGTGTAGTTGACTTAACCCTTCACCCTTCACCCTTTATGGAAGTGAGAAACTGTCTTTGAAATGATAGAGCGATTTTCACTATTTCTCAGGTAAACATTCTGACTACACTAAGAGGCTGAATAAACTTGATTTAGTTAGAACAGAGAGACTTCTCATTGCAGGTAAAGTATTAAAAGCATTTCTTTTAATTTTCAGCTTTGTTTACTAGTTGTCATTAGTAACATTATTATACATGTGCATTACAATACAAGGTTGGATTACATTTTATTACAAACATTAATGTTTTTGTTTGATTCTATTCTTGTTTCTCTTGAATTTTCAGACATCTGTAGGAAGTATGAGGTATGTACTGGATATAGATATTATTCCATGGAAAGTATACGCAAACGATTTTTATTCATTTGTTTTGATGCATCAAAAAATTCACCTGTTTGCTTCACTCAGTCAGTCGTTTTTTTGACATCACAACTGATGAATAAAAATTTTCAAGCACTTTCCATAGTATGATGTTTTTATTTCATATGTACTGAGATTTACACAGTAAAGCACAAAGCAAACTATTGTGGAAATACATTGTTTCAATCAGAGATAAAACTTTACAATTTAAGTGTCAGTAAGTATGAAATCAATTAGGGTTATCAACTAAAGGTGGCATCTAGGGATCAATTGTTTCCTACTTCAGAATTAAGAACGTTTCTCTTCATCTTGTCTTTGTATGCCACTATTGTTTACTTCAAGTAAGGCATCAGCTTTCTTCAAATCATGTTTAAACTCTAAACTGCTTGCTTTAATTTATATACTCCATAGTTATCAACTAGTTTCTATTCAATTCACAAATGATATACCTTGTATACCCACATTTTAAAACTATGTAAAGAAAGTAAAATTTACTTGTTCAGTGCTTTCTGATTTCACATATATATTTGATTGTTGTCAGGATTTTACATAACACACCTTTTTCCTTTGCTTTTGGTCTATATAAAATGAAGCCCAGCCTTATTTGTTTGTAACAGTGATATTCTTGCATTCTTCACAAAGATTGAGCTTGTTGAGAAGGAATATGTCCGTGAACAGAAAGCAGCACAAGAGGAGTATGAGGTAAGGGCTGCCTCTCAGTTATGGGGATGTTTTATTCTGTTTTTGTGTGATTATTTTGTTATTCTATTTATTTTTTATTCCTTTCACAAATATCTTTTGTACAGCATTATGATCTTTCACAACTAGAACACTACCCTATATCATTCATATAACTTACTTAAACTACTCTATGTAAAAATATGTTTACCAGTAGATTTAGCAACAATATAACAATAAAACTTAATGCATAAAAATATCTAACAACAAACAGTTCAAAATAACTAAAATGAAACATGCATGATTCTCTGTTATTCAGAGTTTCGTGCTTACACACTTGTCAGACAGATTTAATCTGAGCACTTTCCTACAGCATTTGGTACAATTTCCCACAATTAACAACAAACATGTATATGCAAATTTTAAAAATAGTCAACTATGGTATGTTGGTCTGATTTAATCCCAAATTCTCCAAAACCTAGTTGAAGACATGTGTTTAACTTTTAGTAACGAAAATTAACATGGCTACAGAGTTTTGATTAAGGGTTTTGCTGTTGTGGTTTAAAGATAAGCCATTTGTTTGTATTTTTCTCCGTTGTTTAATTAGCAAAAGAAAGTTGAACTCAAAGAGACACTCCTAAATGAACTACAAGAGAAGAAAAAGGTGATAGAGACAGAGAGGTCATCCATGGAGCTCACCGGAGGTTAGTTAAATAAAGGTATTTTTTCAAAAGGAATCATCGCAGAATAACACATTATAAAAAAAAGACAAAAATTCCAAAGCATTTTGCAGTAACAGAAAGAAGCTCAGATCAATATCTGTATCTGGGCAACTGCCCACCTACCCCTCCCCTAACCTAAAATTAACCCTGACTTGTTATCAATTGACTGTTGTTGAGTTAGAGAAGGGGTAGGTGGGCAGTTGTCCAGATACTGATATTGATCCAGAAGCTCTGCATCAATTAAAGTAACCAAAAAGTCACAGCTCGTGAGCTTTCATTTCATTGGAGTTTCCACATTACAGGGTTTTCAATGAGTAGTTAGTTTTGCTGTCAATCTCTGGTTTTTGTAGCATCCTTTATTGAAAAAAAAAAGGTTATCTTTGATAAAACAGTTGCTAGCCACCAATAATAGTTGGCTCATGGTGATTTCAACCAGCAATAATCTACCTGTACATTTTATCAAAAATTTTTCTTCTGATTTAAATGTTGCCTAGAAGCAAATTGTTTAGGGGAGTAATGCTAAATGACTGACAATTCTCCTATTTTGATAGATTCAGTGGAAGTGAAACCTGCTGTTACACGAAAACTGAGAAGAAGACCAAATGACCCATTACCTGCTCCTGAAAAAAGAAGAAAGACTTCTCATATCCTTACGAATTCATTGCCCTACAATTCAATTATTGAAGATTTTGTTATTTTGTTACTAGGTACAAAAAATTTGTCAGCATATGATAAGTGCTGTTGATATGAACAGACAGTGAGAGAGAAGGGATCACTTTGCCAGGTCATGTGTAGCCATTTCAAATTGGAGAATTCTGGGGTTGTTAGGTAGAACTCTGTAGTCTTAACCTCCTAACCCCTTGGAATGATTAGCATCTTGTCTCTCCCCAGGATCTTACCCCTGAATCAAACATTAAGGTTATGAGAATATAGGAAATGGTCACCAAGTAAAGAGGGTCTTGATGGTTGTACAAATCCTCTTCAGTGCCATAGGAAAATTTTTGTGACTAGCATGGAGAATTTCATAGAAAAGGTTGGGTTATTCATTGTGGTGAATGACGATAAAAGCTAAGTTTTTCTTGTTTGTCTCATGTGACTACATCGTGACACAAACGAAAAAAAACTTAGCTTTTATTTTTATAGTATGGAGAATATACATATTGATGTTCGGGTGTAAAAGGTTAAAGCTTGATTTACTTTCTATTCTGATTGGGAACATATTTTTCTGTTTCTCATCACTCTTCTCCTGCCTATGCATTTCTCCATCATTAAAAACTCTGTTTGTTTCTGTTTGACCTGAGTTCTATGTTGTCTTGGCAATCTTAACCAACCTCACCCCAGATAAACTACATGCTTGATGAAGAAGATATCATGGAAGACTTAAAAGCCCTCAACAAGTTGGTCTCTCTTCCAGGAGAGGTGATGAAATGTTTTTGAGTGTGATGAAAGTATTGATTGATTATATGTCCCTTTTTGCTGTGCCTCCAAAAAGGACAGGAAAAAAAGGTCATTTGTGATTGCTTAAAAGGATGTTTCAAAAGGATGTGTTAAGTTATTCTTAGTTTAGTGATGATTTATAACTGTGAATAACCCTTTTTTTTATTCGAAAAAAAAAATTGTGATCTTGTAGTGAATAAACTGTTTAATCATTATTTGCACATAGGTGAAATTTATGGTGGTATTTACAAACTTTGATGATCTCTAATGCTGTATTTTAGGTGTCATCATCACAAGGCCAGTCACAGAATAAAACAGGATCAAGCCGTCTTAAAACATCCTCAGGTATCTTAATGAAATTATTTCTCACAAGCAGCACATGTATAATACAGCTTGCTCACCAAGGAGAAGTTATCCTTTTAGTAAAAGACACAATTTTCATTATTTATTAGACCAAACTGCTTCTCAGGCTCATAGTGGGAGGCCTTATAGTGTCTACAACTCATGTGATATATACTTAATCTTCTTGTAAAATATCTCAGGAAACGGCTCACATTCAGAAATCTCATACCCAGTTGAGGTCCGCTCTGAGGATGGAAGGCTCTTATATGACAAAAAATGGTAATAGCATGTCTTGTGAAATCAATGTGCAGTTTATTGTTATAGCTCAGCATAAGTCTTAAGGAACTGCCCTAGGATAATTTTAATTGGTGAAGGCTTGTTACCTTCAAGGAGGATTTAAAAAATGTAATTTGAGCACCATGCGTAAAAACTTGTGTAGATGGTGCAGCTGATTGCTTATTGCAGTATTTTTAGCTTGAGTGCTCTTCTGTAAAGGAGTATTGTAATAGATCTCTTGACTTTGGTTCTCCATCGTTATTAGGTTCCATAAAGGGTGTGGTATTGTTGTAGAAACAAGAGAGAATGGAAGATATAGGTGAGATTTCTTACAGTTGTTGACCATGGCACCTGCAGAATTAATTGTTGTTGTTGTTACCTTTTTAAAAAAACAAATTTATCATCATTATTAAGTTGCAAAAAGTTTCTTTTCTATTTTAGTCATTGAAACATTTTCTTTTCTTTCAGTGGATCCCTTCATTCTATTGGCCAGTCAGAGGTGAGATTACCTACATTTTTGACACTAATCAAATTTGAAAGATCTCATTTAGTTAATTTAATATGCAATGCTAATCTTGAAGGCAACACTTCTCATTCCAAACTTTCTTTTGGACTTTAATTTTTTTAATTCATAGCTTATGGTGACACCATGAGTATAAATCCTGTGTTAAAATGTGAGGTATCATGATTGAAATACAGCATTGCCTGCACAACTTAAGTAATCCTAATATCAAGTCTCGTCTTACCTCCTTTAATACATTTGTCATACAAAATTACATATTGAATATTTATTTTTTTTCACATTATTTTAGATATGGATCAAGAAAACTGATAACACAAAAGTGCGAATTTACATTTCCTCACTGATGAAAGGGAAATTCCATCTCAAGAAGAAAAATTCCAGCAGCAGCAATAATAGCATGAATTCTGGTCCTTCAGTGAATCACTCCAGTACATAACATTCATTCTGAGGACATTTAGGGTCATTTATATCAACAATTACTTTTAATAATTGATGCCCCAGTCCATAACTCTTAACTGGTAATGTTTTCTTTGTTAATAAAGTGACACCAGATAAACTTTCCATGCATATGGAGCAGCACTAAGAAAGATTGAACTAACCAAAAATGTTAAAACTGGGAACATTTTCAGAGTTTATCATGCAAGGGGTCATGAAAGTTTTGTTTCAGAAATCCAATTTCTTTGGCAAAAATTTGCAGTCAAAAAAGTCTATAAGAGATCTACTTGTGTACATTATACCTGGTAACAGAGGTGCTGTTTGTGAAGGTCACAGATATTTATTTGTAAACTTTGTCGATATAGATTAGAGAGGGAATTGTCTCCACTGGAATCTGTAGATGTCGCACTGTGTGTACCCTTGCTGGGAGTGTTCAGTTTTTATCACACTTTATATCCAATCCTTCTTTGGCTCTTGTAAATTCCCTGAATTAGAGTAAATCTCTCTAAGTTCATTACCCAGTTGTCAGTTTATCACACTTTATATCCAATCCTTCTTTGGCTCTAGTAAATTCTCTGAATTAGCATAAATCTCTCTAATTTCATTACCCAGTTGCCTATCATTTCGGTATAAGTTTTGTGGTTCCTTGTAACTTTAGGAAACATTGCAAACAGAACAAAAGGAAAAAATTAACCTCTAGAGGTTCTTCTATCAGCTGTGTTGAAAATAATTTTCTCCCAGTGTAATTTCTCTCGTTTCCTGATAATCAAGGTCAACATGCATATATATTTACTCAGTCAGAGAATGTCATTGCTGTAAATAGTAACATTCAACCATGTATTAAAAACTTTGAAACAATCATTGTTACAATGAGCTGTGTGACATTTAAATTTTCATTGTACAATCAACATTCACATGTGGAAGATTATTTAGTTTATCTCTGTTCCATACAAACCCAAATTCTCTGCAGGCATGGCTCATCCTCACTGAAGTGAAGAAAAGCACGTAACCCTTCAACTCCCATGAGTGACCAAGACAATTTCTTCTCACAATAATAATACAATATCAAGTAGACAAGTGATGAGAATATAGAAAAATATCAGTGAGGGAATTATAAGTTGATCCAACACCAAATTCTTCAAACTAACATCACAAGAACTGTATGGGAGAAATAAAAGCGAATTACTTATGAGATCTTGGGAGTTAAAGGGTTAAAATTATACAATGTAGAGTTGTGCAGACAAACCAGAGTGGAATAAACTGCAAACATCTATACCGTGTTTTAAATACTGGGGATAACATACTGAATTCCATACATCACATAGGAGTTAACCCTTTAAACCTGAAGGGTGATTAGCATCTAATTTCTCCCTACAGTATCAACCCTGAATCACACATTAAAGTCATGAGAGTAGAGGAAATGATCACCGACGAAAGAAGCTGTCAATTGGTAAACAAATTCTCCTTGTCAGCACCAAACAAAATGTATAAGAACAGTATGGAGAATATGCATACTGATGTTGGGGTGTAAAGGGTTAATATCAGTAAAAGGGTAAGGGCTAAAAATTACAGGAAGGTTCGAGGTGCTTTTGAAATGAACAAACTGAAATTTTACATCTTATTTTTTATCAGTTTAGAGTTTCAGCTGAAGTTTTTATGAATAATTTTGGTTACTCTTTTAGTGAGGCATATTTCAGTCCAAAAAATAAAGAGACAACTTTTGAATTGTATGATTATCTGTAACGTATTCAGTTAAACGTAGCCTGACATATGAATAGCTCTAAGAACAGTTCAGCAAACAACTTTATTTCAACTACATGATCTTACAGAACATCTCCATTTAAAACAAATAATTTACAAACAACGTCAACAGGGGCAGTGCACTAAGTTTTCTATGAGAAAGTTCATGTTTGATGACATGATGTGAGCTTCTACAAGCTCCACTTGTAGATGTTTTATGGCAACTTGATCAATATGGTCTGTCTCTTCGCTCTTGCCTCATCCCTTGTCTGCAAATGGCAAAAAGACAAAACAAAAAAGCCCAATTAATGTAATTTCCACAGAAAACGTGTTTGTGTATCTGTAGTTTTTATCTCTTAAATCAGACATGAAGTATATGAGGAACTGAAAACATCTCCAAATCACACTTCAACCAAAAAACATTCCTTGATTTTCCATTAGTAATTCCTATGTGAGGAAAAAATGGGCCCCCACTTTTGCATTTCACAACACAGCCTACTGGTAGCTGCCAAGCAATTTCTTATTTTTAATTCGCTCCTAACCTATCAAAAACAAGCTGTTGTTATCATAATAAAACTCTTTGATAAAGTTTATGGTTATCTTACTCTCTAAGTAAAACATCACTAAAGTACTATTCCACAAAGACTCATAAAATTTTATTTTTCAACTTGCATCCTGATTTCTTCTTACAATAGCACCCTTGAACCACACATTAAGGTCACAAGGATAAAGGAATTGAACACAATTTCTGAGGCTTTTAATTTTTTTCCTTATATCAGCAGCATGGAAAATGTTTAGTGAACAGTATGGATAATATGGGTATTAAAGGTGAAATTTGTTTTTCAAACTACACTCAGCATTTTACCTGTCATAACCACCTCTTCCACCTCCACCTCTCCTGTCACCACGCCCTCCACCTCTGCCTCCACCTCTACCTCCCCCCCAACCTCCTCTTCCACCTCCCCCACTTCTTCCACCATATCCACCACCACCTGGAGCAAAAGACAAGGAAGTTAACACCAGATAATACTGGAACTGTTACTGTGACAATTTATCATCTGTAAAAAGATAGGCAAAGGGTCCACAAAAATAGACAAACATTAAAAATAGACAAACATTAAAAATAATTACCATCCCCACCACCATCGCCAGATCTTGGTGTTTGGCATCGATTGCAGGTGTCCCTCCTGGCAAAATTCATGTTTCCACACCTGTCCACAAAAAAACAAAACAAAACAAAAATATTTTAAAAAACTAAAAAAAGAAAGCCACTAAGGATCTATTAATAACCTCTTAAATAGCTTTCTAACATATAGCATTCCAAGATGAATTTACTAGTATAAAAGGTCAGATTCCATGATTGTGAATTTGTACAAGATACAAGGTTAGCCACTTATCTATTAATACACCAACCAGATGCAAGATAAAACTTAAACATATGTCTGAATTTAAATTACTAATTAGCCAGTGCCCACTGACACTTAACACCATGAACCAATGACTCTTTTTATAATATTAAGGCATGGACCACTCTTGTCTTGAAAATGCAATTCATGTAAAACACTCCACTTACGATGGGCAGTCCCAGTCCCCAGCACGAGCTTCCATTCCTCCGCCACCACCACCACCACCACGATGGTCATCTCGACCACCCCTTCTGTCACCACCACCCCCACGTCCACCACGAGGACCTGCATAGAGAAGGGGTCAACTTACTTAAAAAATTTTGCTTTATTATTCTAAAAGTGGCTTTGGGTCTTCAGGAACAGAAGCAATAGTAAATGTAATCTGTGCCAAGTTGACAACTAACATCTGTTTTCACTACAGCACTAACATGAGGGGGGGGTTGATTTTTTTTTCAGAAACCAAAGTTATCCCATGATCAATCAGAACAAAGAACTCAAACCATAAATAAGTCACTGCTTGAAACAGGAAAAAACTAGTTATCAGTTTGCAACTGATTGATTGGTTGGGAGAGAAGTGCAAGTTTTCTGGACCAATCAGAAAGCAAAGGTAATGAAATACAACCCAATCCAGTATCATTTACTACACACAATTGAAAACTTTTCAAATAACAACCACAGCTTGATTACAACAACCCCACACTAAATAAATGACAAAATGATAATAAAAAAGGTCACACCTCGTCCTCCACCACCTCTTCCACCAAAGCCTCCTCTGGGTACTCTCTTCTCAGCAAATTCAACCTTGATTGTCTGTCCAAAAAACTCTTTACCTGAAGAGATAATATGAACAATAAATTAATCTTAACATCTTGATTTCCACTGAAACACACTCCAGACAGCCACCTCCTTTGAATCAATTCAGTGCATCACTGTATTTTCTTAAATCTTTAGAATCCCTTTTCTATGAACCAAGATTCTGTTCCACAAGATAATGTTTTTGCAAGTTTTTACAAACTAATTTTCCTTACATATTGAAAGGAAAATAACTTTAAAGAAATCACTTCACTACTGGAGGATGAATAAAAGACAGAGAAAATAAAAGCTACCGGTAACTAAAATAAGTTAACAAGATTATGCTTCATGTCTCAGACAAGCTCTACACAAAAAGGAAAGCTGTCATTTATTAACGCTTAGAGTAAGCAGTAATACTGCTTAATAATTCATTAAGATCATGAGAATAAAGAAAATGATCACCACACTAAGAAGCTTTGATTGGGAAATAAATTCTCCTTGTTGGTGCCAAAGGAAATGTGAAGAGAAGAGTTTGGAGAATATGGATACTGATGTTAGAGTGTGAAAGATTAATTACAGCAAGTCAATCTTTCATGATATCATGCACAGCAAGGATGCTCATTGCATTACAATAAAATGACATCCATAATATCACAACTAGCTTTATTAGTAATTCAATTTACCATTGAACCAAGTGATAGCAGCATCAGCTGTTGGCGGATCATCATAAGTAACAGTAGCTTCCCCCTAGGGTAAACAAAAATATTTTATATTATTTTAAAACCAATAACAATCTGAACTCACTACATGCACTCTCCACAAAACAACACAAGACCACAAGTGTGATGAAGACTTAGTTTTTACCTTTGAAGTCCCGTCCGGAAGTTTGTAAATCCAGATTTTAGGGTTGCCTGTCTTTTTGTCAATCTAAGACAAACATTTTAAATGGAGGTTGTTTAAGAGCATAATGAAAACTCAACTGCAAACCTAGACAGTGTAAACTAAACTTATACAATCCTATCAGTATAAATCTACTGGCAGTCTATCACAAATGGTTCAATCTGATTGGCTATGCTACTCCCTGTCTATTTTGTGACAGACAATAGGTAGAGTAACAGTGTGCCATGGTAAACAAAATATATAAAAACACACTCAAGTCTGACTTGTTGTTTTAAGTTTCAAATGACTAGTAGATTTATACTAAAATTAGAAGGCTAATTCCTCTTAAATACTATACATGATAGAAATCTCCAGCTCATAATCTTGTTGTTAAATATATTTAAATTTTACTGATGTGACAGTTTTTCCTTTTAGGCGTTGTTATTATATGCCAATGAGTCTCCTTCACTAATCTTGTCTGTTTAATGAGGCGAAGGCTTTGTTATTCAAATAGCTAGATCAGCGTCAGTTGCACCTTTCTTTTCTTTTCTTAGCAAAGTAACATAAAGAAACTGAGTGCCTCATCCTAAACACATTACCTTTATTATACCAATTGAGCCAAAAAGATCTTTGATGTCTGCTTCTGTAACCGTAGAGGAAAGATTTGAAATGAAAACCTGATCTGTTTCATACTCTTTCCCTGCAAAATCAAAACCAAAAAAAAACTCATTTCCATTTGGGGTGATCTAAACCCAATCACTGTACAGAATGAGAACACCCAATCAATAGGTGCACAATCATCTTGGCAATCACATAGGTAAAAGGTCTCACCTGGATCTTGCTGTCCACCTCCAGAAGAGTTACCTGGATTAAAAAAAGGACAAAAAGAACCACTTAGTCATGACAAGACCACTGACAATTGAGATGCTATTTATTATAGCAAATATGATTGTGTACCATGCCCTGTTCCCTCAAAATCTGTGCCAGTGAAATTGAGGACCCAATACAATCTACCACAATAATGCAACAGCATATTAGAAT